TTACAGTCGAATACATTAAGGGTAAAGAAAACACTGCAGCTGACGCCTTATCTCGAATTAAAATAACATCTAAAGAGTTAAAAGAAATGAATGAATGTTTATATGTCATTACCAGAAAAATGGCTAATCGACAAATGACAAGTAACAATGATAATGAACTAATTAATAGTGATTCTACTGACAAAGGGACTGATCAACCTAGAGTGGTAGAACTCACAACAATACCAAAAGAAGGAGTAGAATTGCAATTCATTAAAGGAAATGAGCTCAATAAAGTAAATATAAATGACAAAACTAATATAAAAGAGTCAAAAACATTAATATATTTAAAGAAAGAAAAAACGTTATATATAAAACTAGTATCACCATCGCAAATGACGCGACGCGCCTTTGTGCGTGAACTAGGTATAAAATGCAAAGAATGGAATATAAATAAGATAACAGTGAGGAAAAATAAAAATAATAATGTATTTGTAAAAACCCTTGCAAATGAAATACAAAAAACAAAAGAAGGGAGTATTCCAAGTTTGTGTATAATAAATGATGTAATAAAAATAACTAATAAAGATGAAAAAAAAGTGATATTAAATGATTTTCATATATTGCCTACAAGTGGCCATGCTGGGGAACGGAAAATGTATAACAATATAAAAAGAAGATATTTTTGGTCAGGTTTAGAAGAAGATATAAAGAATTATGTACAAAAGTGTGAGAAATGTCAGAAAGAAAAATATTCAAGATATACTAAGGAACCAATGACAATAACAACAACAGCTACAGAGGCATTTCAAAAAATATTTATGGACGTCGTTGGACCATTAGAAAGAGATGAAGAAAATTTTTCATACATACTTACTATACAATGTGAATTAACAAAATATATTGAAGCTTATCCTATGAAAACAAAAAGTACCAAAGAGGTTGCAGAAAAGTTTGTTAATAACTTCATTCTTCGGTTTGGGATACCTGAAATCATTGCTACAGATAGAGGTACAGAATTTATATCTACAACATTCCAAGAGGTATGTAACTTACTGCATATAAATAAACTTACATCCACAGCTTATCATCATCAAAGTATTGGCGCACTGGAAAACAGCCACAAAAGCCTAGGTACTTATTTACGTATTCAAACTGATAATCATAGTGGACATTGGAGTAAATGGATAGCGTATTGGTGCTTTGCATATAATACGTCTGTCCATACAGAAACTAAATTTACACCATTCGAATTAGTATTCGGAAAACAAGCCAACTTGCCAAGTAATTTAACAATTCATCCAGAACCAATTTACAATCATGAAAGTTACCCTTTGGAATTGAAGTATAGACTTCAGTTGTCACAAACAGAAGCAAGAGAAAACTTAATAAAAAGTAAAATGATTAGAAAAATAAAATATGATAAGAATTGTAATCCGGTAGTGTATAAACCTAATGATAAAGTATTAATTAAGAATGAAAGTAGGAATAAATTGACCAGCATATATTCAGGTCCTTATATAGTTGTAAGAGATATATCCCCAAATGTAGAAATCTTAGATAATGGAAAAATAAAATTAATACATAAAAATAGAACAAAACTGTTCAAAAATTAAAAAAAAAAAAAAAAAAAAAAAAAAAAAAAAAAACCTAATAATATTTTTTTTTTTCTATGAAAGGGGAAGGTGTAATAGGTATAAGTAATAGGTATAAGATAACAATAGTTCTAAGAATAATATATATTAATATTGTAACATGATCCTAATATGATATAGTTCTATATTTGGTAATTGAGGTTGTAATAGTATCTAAGTATAAACAATTGAACCTGAAGCCTAACCTACATACCGTAGGGGGCAACAACCTATGACATCATCTATGTACCCGTACTATGACATCATCCCTGTAAACCCTAATCACTATAAAAGGGGTCCATTAATAAAAATAAAGTTAGTCTTATAACCAACTTCTTGTGTTTAATTACTTCCTCGCGTACCGCTATCACATGGCTTAGTTTAACATTTGAAATACTTACATTGACCTTCCACGTTAGGTATATACAAACAAGGATGCAAGTATACAGTCCTTGTCTGTAGGTACCTACTTAATTTTGGTGTCTATTTTTTTATGGTATAAGTCGGCAAACGGGTTTGCGAATTACCTGATGCTAAGCAATCGGCGACACCCGCAACACCAAAGGAGTTACGAGTGCGTTGCCGGCCTTTTGAGGATAGGGGTTGCGGATATAAGGATCGGGAAGGGATAGGGGAAGGGGCGGGATTGGGCCTCCGGTAACCTCACTCACACGGCGAAACACAACGCTGTGGTTGTTTCAGGCTGGTATTCTGTGAGGCCGTAGTATCACTCCGGTCGAGCCGACCCATTCGTAAATCTCTCTATAAGTATTTCTGTTTGAACGCAATGAAATCGAAAATTGCGTAATACGAGGTGAATAGAATTCGAATGGATGGATACTATATTTATGTATAACTGCCCGCTTGCTTAGCAAATGCATCTTCTCATCCGGAGTAGGTTGGAACAATATAACGCGAAATGGCGATTTCAAAATTAAGACAAGAAATGACAGGCTCATTGTTATCTTCACTGTATATAGACATATCTATCTGTGATGGCTAAATAATGTCTTCATCTTTATATAGAAAGTCCCAACCTTTATAACACAGAAAATGACATACCTATTTAATTTACCGAGGATTGAACCCGCACTTTCATGCATCACGAGAAAGCCTTAACCTAGTTAACCTTCAGGCCACCACGACAGTCAGTTGTGAAGAATAATCAATTTTTAGGTCTTGTAAGTTATCTGCTCCGCAGTTTGTGTAACATAGAAGTTGTGTGTGTGTGCTTGTGTGATTGGCATAGTAACAGAGTGTGTGATTGTGAAATAGTAACACTGTATGTAATTCTGACATAGTAACAGTGTGTGTGATTGTCACATAGTAAGAGTGTGTGAATGTGACATTGTAACAGTGTTTTGTAATGTGACATAGTAACAGTGTATTGCAATGTGACATAGTAAGTATGTGTGAATGTGACATAGTAACAGTACGTGTGATTGTTACAAAATACAATAACAGTGTGTATGATTGTCACAAAGTAAGAGTATGTGTGATTGTCACATAGTAAGAGTGTGAATGTGTCATAGTAACAGTATGTGTAATTGTTACATAATAACAGTGTGTGTGTGTGTGATTATCACAAAGTAAGAGTATGTGTGATTTTCACAAAGTAAGAGTGTGAATGTGTCATAGTAACAGTATGTGTGATTGTGACATAGTAACAGTGTGTGTGGTTGTCACAATGTAAGATTATGTGTGATTGTCACATAGTAAGTATGTGCGAATGTGATATAGTAACAGTATGTGTGATTGTTACATAATAACAGTGTGTGTGTGATTGTCACAAAGTAAGAGAATGTGTGATTGTCACATAGTAAGAGTGTGAATGTGTCATAGTAACAGTATGTGTGATTGTGATATAGTAACAGTGTGTGAGGTTGTCACAATGTAAGATTATGTGTGATTGTCACATAGTAAGAGTGTGTGTGAATGTGACATAGTAATAGTGTGTGTCAATGTAACTTGGTAAATGTGTGTCAATGTGACTTAGTACTTAACAGTGTACGTAAAATGTAACGTAGTAGGTAATAAGTACGCAAGACTTGATATAGACAAGTTTATGAATGTCAAAATGAAAGTTAATACAAATATACAGCTGGGTATCTCAAATTCCGAGATTCATGGTTTACCTATTTTGACTTAGATGGCTAGAGTATAATACTATAATACTCGACTTAGGAATCGAACCCAAGACTCATAATTTGCAAGCACTTAAACAAGAGTGCAAGACGGTGTGATTGAGTTTGTGTGTGTAAGAGAGATGTACATATTGTATATCTTTTAGTGTTTGACAGATGACGGGTAATAGAAGAAATAAAACACAGTAGCTTAGTAGTTAAGAAGATATTTTTTTACAGCCAGTAAAATTATGATGTTCATACAAGGGATACATAAGGTTGATTTCTCCATCACACAGTAATGTGGGAACCAACCGGCTAAGGGGACCAATCTAGACATTTTATAAGAAAAGTGACTAATGTAATATACCAATGTTGAATATAGATATATCTGGGGATACAAAACTATGAAAGGTCACACTGAAAAAAGATTGCGGGACTCGTCCATAGAACTGTATTCCAACACACATCATGCAGGAAGATACCCGATCTACCTGAATGACGGTGTTGATATACCCATGTTCTTAACAGCCAACTACCCCAAATTGAAGGAATCAGAAAGTATAACTATAACTAGCCTAGCACAACATCTAATCCAGCCAATGGAAAAATATATGTACGCACGACACCAATTAGAATTTTGTTATTTAATTCCCTATATGGGATAACAATGAGGTACTGGGTTACTGTTAATGCACTGCAGTATAGCTATTACTAGCAATCAGAGGGAAACCAAAGAGTTTCGCTGGTAACTCATCTGTGCTATTTGTGCCCACGGTGATTGTCCAACTGGAGATGTTTAACTATCTGGTGACGGGAGCAGCGATAACTCCTTCTCTAAGTAGCGGGTAATCACAGTCGTAACTGGCGCTTCCCTGGTCTTCCAAACCGACCCCCTGATTTATCACAGTTGAACTAATTCCTTATTTGAGGTATTTGGCCGTATTAACACATTCGACCATACTGCATTTACCTACAGAGAGATCTCCTTCGAGTATAATGAGGGAAGTCAGTCTGTAGTTGGAGAGTATAATCGGACATGTTCTTGCTTATGTTGACGCTGGCCAGGGCACATAAGACAGGTACGTAAAGCACCACCTGTATGGATTAGATAAGTGATGTTTTTGTACACGAAAACGGTCTACCGTGCCGTATGCCTGTGTCACCATAGGCGCGCATACCGGACTGCACTATGTCGACAACACGACTCTCATTTGCCGAAACAGCATAGTCCGTTACACTCATACTTATTCTATAAGAAACAACTATAAAAGTATAAAAATATATATCTTTGGTGTAAATAAATATTCTCTGGTATAAAATATAAACTCTGAATAATTAAATAAACATATGTATAAATATATATATATGTAAGAATTACCTATCTAACCTACTACACTATCTACGTTCAGTTTTTGGTAAATAGTGCATTCTGACTTGTAAATAAATCAGTCTATAGTCCCTCCCTGTCCTCCCTGATGTTAAGTGAGTGCGCCAAGTTGGGGTGGGGGAGGGGGGGAGAGGCTAATACCCTCACTGCAACTTGTTGAACGACGCCAAGCAAACAAAAATTACAGTAATCTCATCCCCATGATGGTAGTAGGAACGAAATATTCTCAAATAAACAACCACATAATAACTTATACGACCCCCGCCAAATAGCAGGAAATCACCTATGGCAGTGCTCAAATATTGCTTATCAGTTTAAAATTTTAATTAAATAACACAATATTAAATTGACATTAAAACCCATTGATTCAAAATAAGAGTCAAAATTCCCTGCACTTAAAAAGACAAATGAAGAAATGAATCGGAATGCTTTTTTGTTTTAAACAAACAGAATTGGAACGTTGCTAATTAAAGTTAATAAAATAATATATTTAAAAAAGTTAACGAGCGTCGCTCAACAATCGACAGTGAGGTGTGAGAATGTAGTAAGCCTGAATATGCATCTAAAAAATTGTCTGGTCAATATAAACCTGGGCGCGATATTCGTTTCGTTTCGTTCCGTAAATCATATCGTGAGATGATTAGTTGTTGTTTTTGAGAGCATCATCTTTATCGGAATTATACACGCATAGTCTCCCCAGGCCCAGGATTATATCAAACAATTATTAGCCCACTGGTTTTTGGAAAGCAAGAGATCAAACAAACGAAAATAATTTATCCTAGTAGGTATATATCATTCAGTGCCGGAGTACCTACACATCTTTGGCAGTTTTGTTGCTATTACTAGTAGCGCCAAGATCGCTTCTTAATCCTATCACATGACAAACATCTAGAAACAAAGTAATTAACAGAATTCTAGTCAGATCCAACACGTTTTACTACTGATACAAATATGGAACAAACGGCCAAATACATGGCAACATCTCCGACCTATCTATGTCTTGCTTACACAACACCTCCGTCGTATATAATGCAAACAAGATGTTATAAGCCAGAAAGGTGGTACAAGTCATATCAAGTGTAAAGCAGTATTGCCTATCACCAGAGAGTACACCAAACCTTAATTAAAATAACAAAAATCACAGACATCAAACCTAATATGAGAAACAGACAAACTGTTCTGGGCATCGATTTAAAGCTGATAATGATGAGCAAAAAACCGGTGCCCCGGAATAGGTAAGAAGTATCGGACAACGCTTAACCAACCGCCCCAAGGCACTTAGAAAATTGTACTAAAATATTTAACTATAGATACCGACTTAAACACAATCTATCATCGCGCGCAACCCAACCAAAGATAACGTGGCAGGATTGTGCCCCGAGGACCATCCGTCAGCCTTTGTTACTCCGAATACCGCTAACACTAAACCGAGTTAGTAAACATACTAGAAATAATCACATTTAAGCAATAGCTGAAACATGGAATGCAATGGAAGCCATCACCCTACTGAACGGAGTAGTAGTAAGTAGTCGAGGGCTGAATGAAGGATGACCCCTCATTTACAATCATTGGAGTCAGGATAAGACCGAAGGAGGGATTTTTAAATAGATAAATAATCACAAATAAATATGCCACAGCCTTGAAAGATAGGGCCGCAGCATGGCACGTAGAGACATCTTTCCGATGATGAAGTTAGAGAGACGATACAACAGATCGAGTAGAGCTGGGCTCGAAGTGACCGTTCAGACAGAAGAGTGTCGACTCCACCGCTGGGGGAACAGTTTGCCTGTTTTCTGGACAACATCTAACAAACTTATATTCAACTAAAACACATCAGGTGGCCGCATCGTCGTTAGGGTCGAACTCGAGTTTCACGCCACCGCTGAGCCCGTCGACATCATCTATCTCCGAAGCGTTGAGCATATTCAAGGTAACCTGAAATCAAAAAAAGAAAAACGATCAAGAGTCATGAATGACAAGTATTAATTTGACGGTTTTTCGATATAGGCGTTGAATAATTGAATATGCGGAGAAGAAAGATATTTATTTCAATAAAAGCAGCATAGGTAGCATTTATTTTGTGTAGACCCACAAATATAAGTAGGTACACATTATCTTTGATTAATAAAACTGGGGATTAAATTTGTTGATTGAATGTATACCAAAATTAATTGAACAATAAATATAACGCATCCCAATTCAATTAAATATGAAGTAAAATTTGATGATAAAAGCTTCAGTAGCATACAATAATTTGCTGTCTTCGTATGATATTTTGACAACAGTAACAAACAAAGACGCTAGAATTACTAGGTTCTAATAATAATATCAAAACAAAAACACTAGATCTAAACTAAATAAATAAATAAAAGGTCTACTACAAAAATTATCCAATGAAAAAATAAATATTCAAATAAAAATAGATCTGCGAAAAAAGTTGAAATAATAAAAAAATGAGTTCAATTAATATTGTAGCGTCATTCGTAAATGTCTATTAAAAAATGAATTTTGATTGGTCTTTCCATTATTTCAACATTTCAATCTTGGAAATTCAAGACACACTATAAGAACAATAGGTGCGCAAACGCATTCGCTTGGGGTTTGATGAATTAAGGAATTCTCACACACTCCCAAAAGTTTTTGTTGGCAGTCAGTAAAGAAGAAAAAGAAAATTGAACTCATTTAACGACTAGACAATGAAATGAAATCTTTTTTTTTTGAAAAAGGAACATGACTCATGCAACCAGTAACAGGCGACTAAAGTAAAACGTTTTATATAGAGGTAACTAATTGGTTGCTTAGTCAGTGAAGTTATAAACCTCTGCGTTCTGTCCTATAACCGTCTGTCTGTTGATCACGCTCAGTGGCGCTGGCGCCGGCTGAGGTGCCTGCTTCGTGTGGTTGGTCACTGTACTGCTTACCTCACGCATAGGTATACCTGCGTCTTCAAACGCTTTTCTTTTCAAGGTGTTGCGAATCTGAGATCTGTAATCAAACAAAAAATTATAAGCAAACTGTTTGCCATTTGTGCACTGATACGGAAAAGGTATTGGGATTAGAATTGGGGTCAATTTGCTTTGGCAACGCAAGCATTAAGGGATTTGTCAACAAAATATGTATTTTGTAAGAGATATGGAAATAAACGCAGAGCACATCATAGACAACACCGATAAAATTTGCATAGGCTGGTAGTAAAAGACGATTACTAATGAGAGATTTAAGAAAATGGCGGTCGCGGATAAATATCTTTAGAACATCCTGTAATAAATAATGGAACTGCAACAGGACGTGTTGGCCGTTGGAAGCTGTGATCCGGCACCCTCTCGACAATAAACCACTCCGCACTATATGAGATGAGGGGGCATGGCATCCATCCGTCATATTCCGCCTTGTGACCTGTAAGCCATAAAAAATCACGACGTCCAGATGTACCCACCAACCAGGTATAAATGCAGAGACAAAAGACGTTTGAACAATTCACTAATTCAGCCAACAATGTGTTGTGGTTGGATACGCATTCAATATCCAGTATAAAGAATGCGATAACCAAATCAAAAATAGATGAACAACGCTCTGCAATGGAAGGCGTGGTTAGGGAAGTTGTAGGAGTGAGGATACCTACTAAGAACCTAGAAGGCACTACTCATGTTACACAAGATATTCAAAAGCCAACTCTTATTAAGAAATATCTTTAACATCATAATGTTGAAAATTTGCTTGATATGCGCAGATACTTGAACGTGTCACTAGCAAGAAATTATTAAGTAATAAATAAATAATAAAAATAATTAAATTATCAGTGATCAAATAATTAAATTTTTCCCCAATTAATCATCAACAGAATTCAACAAGTTAAATTTTGTTTCTTGCATTAATGTTTAATTGCACCAATGATATTTAATTAAATTCAGATGCTACTTCGAAAAACCAATGCTCAAACACGTCTGCATGTTTTGTGTGAGACGAATAAACTAATAGGTAGTATTATTTTAACCAACTCAAGTCTAAGTAGAAAAATCTATAGTATATTCTTTATCCATCCAGCATGGATTGATTGCAAGTAGGGCGTGGCACAGAAGGGAAGCGTGAACAGCGCATGCGCCTGCTAGGGCGTGGTGAGCGCCACATTGAAGGGGGTGGGGTGGGGGGACAAAGAAAAAGAGCGCATATAGCATTATGCGCGTGTGCAATGCCTGGGCCGCAGATATAAATCAATACAGCCAGCCGGATCCAGGCTCGGCTATGAGTTAAGATATTTCTTTTTTTATACAGAAACTAAACGTTTTATTTCGACAACAATGCAGAATTTGAGTAAAGCCAATATGGCAAAATAGATTTTAAAAGTTGGGGAAGAAATCAAGTTCGATTTAATGACAAAGAAATACTGAGAGCTGGTTTTTAATTATAAAGTACAATTTTTGGAAATATGGAAGACCTTTATGTCATACAGACAGAAGAATAGAAAATCTTGAATAACAAGAACTGCTTTACCAGTATTCTTAAGATGAAGTCAACTGCACTGAAAGAATTTCAATGAAAGACCAGTGATCTAAGTGACGACTTACCTTCATACCGGATACTTCCGCACAGCAATGGCTGATTCAACTTTACTAACTCACAAAGATAGATGATATTAACTGATTCACTATCTGAAGCCACAAGATATTAAAGGAGTCGGCTTCTATTTGGAATACAACGACACGTCTTAACTGAATGGAGTTAGTTAGTAATAGAGCAAGGGGAGGGGAAGGGGGAGGGGAATACGCCCAGTAGAGACTACAGCGCATGTGTCAACCAGGGCGTGGCCCTTCGATCGGTGGGCGTGGCAGAGGGAAAAGCTCGTGCAGCGCATGTGCCAGTCAGGGCGTGGTGCGCGGCGAAAACTAGAGCGTGCACAGCGCATGTGCATTACACACCCCATCTCCACCTAAGAAGGGTGAGGTGAGCGGGTGGCATGGGGAGATCCGGAAGAGGTGCGCCGGACAAAAAGACGAATTTATACGCGAGTGTTTGAAAAAGCCAGCATCGTAAAAAACGCTGCAGATACATCCTAAAACGAATGCTGCTATTGTTATTAATTAAGAAGATGAAGGAAAAAAAAGGACCCGAACAGTTCAGGATAAGGGAGGAAGAAGTCGGCGGCGCCCTGGCGCAGCGCGGCGGGTGGGTTAAGGGAGTGGGAGGGGGAGGGGGAAAGGACTTCACAGGTTACTGCGCCTGTGTTATGCCGCAGTGACAGGGCGTGGTACCCGGATGGGGGGGGGGGGGGGATAATAGGTCAAAGGGGTGCAATTGCGCACAGTGACAGTATAGAAAGACGGTCGTTTGCAAAAAGAAATACAACATTGAAATTGAATTGAAACATTTTCTATACTTTTAAAAACCTTACTCGTAAATAGATTGTAACAAAAATTAGAAAACTGCAGAGCTTCAATATTCGTCCTCCTAAACCACATGACTTGGAAACAACTTCGTTATTTAGAAGACAAATAATTTATTCGGGGTTCAAATCTAAAGAACCGTTAACAAATGAAAAATAAATCGCTCCGTATTAAAGACAATGGTAGCGGGTGGGTAACTGCACGGCGCCGAACACCAAATCCTTTGTGAAAAAAAAAGACAAAAGGATGCCATGAAGTCCTGAAGATTGAAATTGAAGTCGGCTGCAGTGTTGAGAAATAAGTTGTAACTGACCACTTACCCCCATACCAGGTGTTGCGTCACAGCAGTGGCTGCTTCCAAATTCAATCACTCGCGAGGATAGATAATGCAGACCATATCGGTTTATTCTAAACCACTAACAAAATTAATTAATACGAAAATAATTTTGATAGTGATACAGAGAACACTGGTAGATTAGTGTAACTGTCCACAAGAAGATGACAAAGGGGACAGGTATGGTCCGGACCGAAAACGGTGACGCGTATTAACTATATGCAGGTCGGCGGCGCACTGACGCAGTGCCGCAGCGCCAGTGTGTGGCAAGGGAGAAGGAGACGTAGGGAAGGGGAGACAAAGGGGATGTGGTACAAAAGGGGTGGAAGGTGGCGTAGGGGGTGCGCGGTACTTCCCTATCCCCTCGCTACCCACAGGTGGCGATGGAAATGTCAGGATCGAACTGCGTCTGTACAATGACCTAGGTCACCGATTCATATTCTCTAGATATAAAATCACGCCTGCTTTCAAACAAGAGTACGTATAACAAAGGAAACTAAGCACTTGGTTGTCAGGACAATTTGATTATATGATTTACGTAAAATGGTCCAACCAATCGCTATATGACAAACAAAGCATGTTATTAAATTAAAAATATCGATGCAATGGGCAGAGGTAAGCTGCTGGCTTTTGCCAACACGCATTAGATTTTTATAGCTAAATTGTGATGACAAATACGGAGCACTATAGAAGTTCTTCCCGAAAATAAGAACCACCAACGCTCAAGGACCTGGCCTCCAATGGCACTGCGCTACAGAGAGAAGAAACCCCGGAAAGTTTGGGTGTTGTGGCTTTGAGGACCAATCGAAGGAATCGGTGGTGCAAAGGTCGTGGTGTAAGCTTCGAGGTAGCGAGGACCATAAAAGAATGATGCAGTCAAACCACTACCTTTGTAAATCTACTTTAAGGAAACAGGAGATTCTTATACGAATATGAATGAGCCAAACTAATCGAGTTCCTCGTTAAAAAGTTAGTTAAGTAAATCGGGGATTCTTATGATAACCTAACCCTCAAATGATTGCAATTTTCATAAGCCACTATCTCCCGCCCTTTTTTTTGTCAGGTGAAAATCATCAAATGACCTCTCCCGCACAGGGAAGGCGAGAGAGTGTCAGACTCTTACTGACTAAAAAATTCCCGTTCTTCCTCCTGCTCTGGGCCGAGGCCGCGGTAACTCATTGCGCTTAACCCGCAACCCCGGCTGAACATAAGCCCTGAACGCTGACGCTCGGAACGCTACGCGCCGTCCGCTCAGGTCTGGATCTGGTTGGACGGCGAGCAACCCTTACGGTGGCCAGATATCGTCTCTCCCCCGACGCCCGGAATGTCACCTACTGCGGCGGCTGGGGCGCGAGGAGGATAGTTCCCTCACGCGCTCCGCTCCTTTGCGAGCATCACTGCTTCGCAGAAATAGGACACGGCGGTGCTCATTCCAAGCAGGGCACACCGCCACCGTATGCTCCACCGTGTCCTCTGGGTGGTCCTCACAGTGACGACACTCGGGCGTTTCCTCCCGCCCGATCCGAAACAGGAACCTACCGAAGCTACCGTGCCCGGTAAGCACCTGTGTCAGGCGGAAGGCAAGGACGCCGTGGCGTCTCTCAAGCCACTCCTCAAAGAGGGGTCTTACCGCTGCTATAACAGCGTGCTCGGCCCTTGGTTGAGACAGTCATTGCTTCCACTCTGCCATGAGATCTCGCCGGAGCTCATTCCGCCACGCACTAATTTGGCACGGCAGAGGATTCTCGCCCCGGCGTCTCGCGTCTTCGCTTCCAGATACCGGCGGTGATCCGGCAAGGAGGTTCGCCGCCTCCCCGGAGATCGTACGATATCCGCGAATTATCCGAATAGCTTTGACCCTCTGGGACGCGACCAGCGTACGGGCCGGCCGCCGCCTCAAGTCCGGCGCCCAAACAGGGTTTTACCCCGTAGAAAACCTACGGCAGAAGACGTTTGACCCCCAGGACTCTCTCCCGTCCTGGGTTTTATGTAGTTTCACAATTATTTGTTACATTTGTTAGTAGCAAACTACTCTTGCCATGTGCTTCGGTGTCATATCAAGTATGTATTGAGATGTTCGATACTCAACGCAGGTAGAGAAACATGACCATTTCTAACACACGAAAAATCCTGAAACGACGTAAATGACGAAAAATACACTAAAAAGCATTTCGCCAGTAGCATGACATAATTAAAGTCATAAGTATGTGTTAATACAATAGGTAAGGTACATAGGTGTTATGATCTCTTTTTAAAAAGTATATAAGTAAGTTACCGAGTGTCGACACAGCTCAGCGAAGTCGCAAATGCACTTACCTGCGCAGAGCAGTAGCGCGTAGTACAACAAATCGCAGCAGCACCACCTCACCTTTTAGAAGAACTCCCAGCCACCAATGATAAATTGGTAATAATACTTCATTGCCAAAGCACTTTTGTAAACGTGCGCCTGCGCGCGTGTGATCTCTCATTAGTAATCGTTTTACTTAAGCCAATTTGAAACTCATTGTTATGGTAAATGACAACATTAAGATAGGTATTAAGAATTTAAATTTTCAGAAAGATAACATTATGACTGTATTTTTTGATTTCTAGGGCTACAGCGAACTGCAGTGCAAGCGCAATAAAGTACCGCGGCCTTGGCCTGGAGCAGGAGAAGAAACGGGAGTTTTAGTCAGTAAGAGCCTCCCTTTTGTCTTATTTTAGGCTTGAGAACAAGAGATAAATTTGAAACAACTCATTGCTATGAAGGAGGGACAAGGTAGGCGACAGCACGCATCCTTGAGGGACACCAGCATTTAGGGATATAGAGTAAGAGAATTCACCGTGAGGTCAGAAGAAAGATGTTATTGAACTTTTGTCAAAAGAAGCTGGGAGCACGAATTTTGGTTAAACCTAAAGAAAGCTGGCTTCGGAATAAGCCAGAACAGCTTGCAGACATGTTCAAAAGCCTTTGCTAATTCGAAACTAACTGCCACGGCTTCTATCTCAGTCTTAAGTGTATCGAGTATAACGAAGATAACCAGGTGCCCATTGCTGGGTTGCCAAATAAATACCGAAGAAGACCTAGGATTCAATACTAATGCAGATATATGTACTACACAGGAGCTATGCAAGGAGGGTCATGTTTTAAGACTCGTATAAAAATAGTCGTGATTTCATCTTCGACCAGTAGAATGTAATTATTAAAGCTTAATGAAGTCAGTTTTAGATTTAACTTTTTCTTATCTGTACCACATACCTACTCTTTAAGCCAGGCCTGAAAATAAAACCGTATTTCAAGATACAAACATATCTAGCGCAAGATATATTTATAAAAATCTCTTACACTTTTCCTTCGGCACAGCCTTATGCACTCACATTTTCAGCAGATCTTGCGCCGCATTTCAAACGCCTCAATGCACACTAAAATACACTACAATCAACATAAAATCAAATATAACGCACACACAGTTCGCTCTTTGGACACAACTTAAACTCCATTTAACACACACTTTCACAGTAATGTCCCACAATTAAACGAATTAACTCACTCATTGCACTTTATAACAACCCAATCACTGGATCACAACCATTATGACACTAAATGAAACAAAACACTATGTATCACATCACTCACATTATGCATCATAAACCACGACACTATTTTCACTATCACAAATTAACACACTTTTAAATAATCACACAAGCACAACACTTCACTTTTGTCTATAATTGCATAAGAAAACTTCTGAAAATGACCAAAGATGCGCATGTCATCTGTCATTAAAACACTGCCACCCTCTCCACACCCTCACCCAACCGCCCCCGAGCTGTAAGTACTTTCAGGCCTGGCCAAACCCTTCCTGACACATAATGACACAACCGTCTTAAAATGTTGATAAGTTATTATAATTTAATATTAAATGATACCTAGATTTACCAGCATAACCAGATTTTGCGACGCACTTATTTAAAATGGCAGTGGTCAGTAAAAATGTGCGCCCTATATTGCGATACCCTAAGCACGTCCGGTGGCGTCGACGCGGCCCTGACCACTGGCTTGGCAGGCGCGCGCAATGCGGCACACAATGCGGAAACTTACTGCACATGCGCTGAACGAATGTTCTAGAATCCAGGACTTCCGTGCCCGCATTAACTCACCCCCCGTACCCCCCCTTTTCACCCCCAGCCCCCAGCTGGGGGTGAAAAGAGTAATACCCCTTACAGACGTCATAATGCAAGGTGCTATTAGTTGTCATACGAGAAAACGAGAGGAACGAGCTTTCTATCTGTCTTTCTCTACCCCTCCCCCCACCTCAGGTGGGGTTTGGTGGCGGAGAAAAATTATATGTAGTTTTCTCCCATCACTACCATTTCAGGGTGTGTTAGGTGCAATGTAGATATCGCATGCGCAGACAGGACCTGCGCCAACACGAAGCTCGTAGCTTTACACTAATATGTGGCCCCGCGTACCCACGTCGGCCGCGCCCTGTATTTCAACCCCATCCCATCCTAGCCTCCCATTAACTCCCCTACACAGAAAGTTAGGGTACAGGGGATTACGACTCATGTTCCATTTTTTTTAGCGACTATTCCGAAGCTTCGGTATTACTTAGCTTAGGTACAATTATTTTTTTATTCTGTACGAAAATTTTAAAGTGGCAAGTTCTTTCTAAAATGTAGTACTAATCTGAACAAATTATTTTAAAAACATGGACGGTAAAATATATTTTATAGACATTTATGCATAGACAGACAAACGCGAGCAATTAGTATTACATCCGTAGCTGCAGTAGCTCAGTTCTCTCCCAACTCTCAGCCCACATTATCTGCCCTCGCAACTCTCATCGCACACTATCTGGCCTTCTCACTCTCATTCCACATTTTCTGCCTTTGCTAGAGGAGTGCAGAGGAACCCTGCAATGGAGGGTGGGTGCACAAAAGAAACGAACCGATATAAAAACTTCGACGTAAATATTGCTTTGAAATTAATAAAGAGAAGTCTTTTTGACTTCTTATTACATTAATTACAATAAGTATTGAGCCTCTCGCTAGTCGATTGGTCGAAAGGGCGTTTGCCGCATATGCATTGCCACGGTTTGGCACCTGGTTTTGAGAAAAGTATTATTGGATTTTCTGACTCCAAGAAATACTTTTTGTACACAGAATATGTTAAAAGACTTGTACACTATTGCATTTTATTTATAATTCTAGGTTTTGTATATCAGTTTTCAGGTTTATGAAGGACCTTTTATATTAAACTAGCTCTTACCCGCGGCGTCGCTCTGGTCATTTGACTACCTACCCTACTCAACCTACCCTGCCTACACTACTCTACCTACCCTGCCTACCCTACTCTACCTACCCTACTCTATGTACCCTACACTACCTACCCTACTCTACCTACCCTACTCTACCTACCCTACTCTACCTACCCTATCCTATCCTACGTCCTTCTCTTGGCTCTAAACTACCTGCTTGCCGATTTTCAGCTAAATTGGTTCAGCCGTTCTTGATTTATAAGTGGAGTAACTAACACGACTTTCTTTTATAGTATACATAGATATGTGGTGGTGGTTAAGTTTAAAATATGACAAGGACAGTTATTTGAAATATTAAAACAAAGTATCACATGCATCTACATAATTTATTTACATCCATTTTTTTAATGTACTATACATATAATTGGCGTATGAGCCAAAATTTACTTCATTGAATTTATGTAGGTATATACATTACGGTTATCTTCTTAAAAACTAATCCTGCCTGGGGGATTTGTGTACATGTAGACACGAACCCTAGGCGACCAATAATCATAGTCATTATATCGTTACAGCAATTTAATAATAATTATAAGGTATATATTTTGACATTTTCCATAGAGAATTCTCGTATAATAACAATTTCAGACCATTAGGTATATGTACAGAACCATTAGGTACGTATACAGACAATAATTATATTATTACGAAAACATTTAACATTTCGTATGTACGAAGATCAATATTTCATTAAAACATTTCATTCTACTTACAACATATACATATAATTTTATTAATTTATTATTTACAAACCTATTATAAATGTATGGACATTCACTTATTTCTTAATTCCCACCAAAAACAGCTGGTGAGTACATGAATATTTTTATTTTTATTTAAGTATATTTATTTAATTATGTTCAATATATTTATTGTATAAATATAAGACATCAGTATCATTACAATATTTTTTTTTAATCTGAGAAAAAAAAGGAGTTCTAAATTCGGATTTTTTATGGTTTGTACCAGAGAACTCCATCCTCAAATATTATTAATTTAAACAGCTTTTATAGCTGATGGACAACTTATGTACATAGAATATCGGCGTGGACACATTTCTATGATACGACATTCGATTTTCGTAAAACAGCACGACGCCGCCGCCGCGACGCGAAGTCGTCAATAGACGGCAAATCGATGATTAATAATTATGATGGAGATGGAGTTATGAGAATAATATAACGGGTTACTTTTGTGTACGAGGTTCTCGTTGAGTAAATCGGCAATAGTATCGATTTACTATTGTAGATCCACTCGCTAACCGTGCAGTCGATTAGATAATCGAATAGATTGGCTGGATATGGACAAGTCGCTGTCACCCCCGGTGTCACAAATTGTGTGGGTGTGATTTGCATGTGAATTTGTGCCTGTAAACGCACCCACAACACAGAAAAGGAACCCAGTACCACGGGTTTTTCTTTCTTTTCAATATATCGATCGAAACATTGGTTAGTGATGGAGGTTAATTAAAGCAATGTACCGTTATAATATGCCTAATTTTTTTCTTGAGTTTTGGTAGTTTCTTTTTTTTTGCCTTAGCAACAGCGGTAGAATAATACGTCTTTCACGGTCCATATTAGGCGGCTGCGAAGTGCTAAGAACATAGAACATGTGGCCACGCGCTAACATTTAACCTTATCTACAATAATGTCAATGACTAAATTGAATTACAGCCTATTTTCGTGTGTGCGAATTTGACACCTGGAGAACAAACATAACAACATTTATTACTTTACACATTCACCTTCTTATAACAAGGTACATAATATATTACACATTACGTAATATAATTACATACATCCAGTTTTGTATGACAATTGCTGCATTTATTAATTGAACAAATTCAAATAGCTTTCTTCGCTATAGTTTATCCCGTACGCACTATATAGATACGCTAACATATTAACAATTAGACACTGAAACAATGACAAAGCCAGGAAGAGTAGAGCAAATGCTTTACAGTTAATGAGGGAATGAGAGGACATTACAAAACCGGGGGTAGGTGATACGTATATTGTGGTCCACAAGGATTTGAAGTTCTCAATCATACATTAGAAAAAATCCTGTTTTCCGGAAACTGTATACAAACTTTTCGACATCAGCTATCGGTTTCCACGCGTCTTTACTCATATGTTAACCTCATTCACTCTGACTCGCCAATTCATAAATTAGCGAGTGCTTATCACAATATTTTTTATCACAGTACGTTTAGGCCGATCTCACAATTAGAATGTACCGGCCTCACAGTCTTAACAATATACAACAGAAAATCCATTCATTCCATTTCCATCCATTATTATCACATCCATACATATTTACATAAATTTTTTGGAAAAAAGGAATCCATGACGATAAGTTTTTTTTTGAAAATGACATTATTTATCTTGGATTTTCTACTACATCAACAACGTATTTGACTATTTACCAGTACTAATCATTATTTTATTAATTGCCACTCAGAGTTTTTTGTTACTTCTAGAACACCAAATAGGTATTTAGGGTTTAATATATTTACTCTAGCTAACATGGACAACCACATATGGTGAATCCACCAAACATATTAATAGACAGTAAATGGGTGTATGCCTTAATGCTAGTTTACCACAACCGAATTTACGTTGTTGTCACAATAAGGGTTCAACCTCATATCACCAAAGTTTTTTCTAACTAAATTCATTTCTCAGATATTTTCTTTGTGCCCCTTCGGGAACGCTTTGGGGGCAGCAATGGTTCCAGGAGTCCTCCGTGGCGACTTTTTGACCTTGTTAAGACACGAGCCTCGGACGAGGTCGTGTTTGGTGTTGCCGCTTCAGCAGTTTTAGGAGTGTCTTTGTTAGGACTCTTTTTTGGAGTCATTTCTAATGAATGCATTGCGTTTACATCGCTTGTAGCCGGTGGCTGGTGACTGGTGGACTGGTTCGAAAGTCCATATTTCTTAAAGCACCAACGGGCGCGGAAAGTGCTAAGAGGGTCCGGAGCTGGTTCTACAATGTCGCAAAATATGAACGGATCGGGTTTTTCCTCGACCGTTTTGTTATTTGTTTTGTGATCTACAACTGAGACAGGAATAGGTATACTGCTATCATCAATAATATGTTCTGCATATACGCACGTGCTTTGATCTTCTTTTGCGTCCCCATCCCTAGCGTTTTCATCCTGGCAGTTTATCTTTGGAGTGGTTTTAATAAAATCTCTAAGTTTGCTTTTATTTTGTTTCGTTTGAGCCCGCCTTCCTTTTGTAGGTGGGGTCCGTTTTTGGGCCGGGACAGCGTTTTGTGCCTGTTTCTTCTTTTTAATTGTTGATGTTTGTTTATTAGGCCTATTGTATTTTGAATTAGTAATATAATTAGATTCTCTTTTACCTATGTATTCTTTTGGAGGGGACAATACCGGTTGTTGCTGTGATGCAGCCAGACTAGTATTGGTTTTTAGTTTGAAGTCGTTGTCGTTTTGCAAGCGCGTGGTTTCAGAATGTAGTTGGTTAGCGACATAGCTGCTAGGTTGGTAATTTTGACCTGCGGTAACTTGATTTTCTTGGCCACTGATTAAAGGTAATTCCGCATTAATACTTGGTACTGGACCAGCTAATCCAATTGATGGTGGTACTTCAATAGCTGGTTGCTCGTTAGGTTGACACATCATCTGCGTTTTCGTAGATAATGTGTTTTCAAAGTCAAGATACCGAACGATTTGCTGCACCGTAAGCCCACACTCGTTATTGTTGACTTCACCTTCACCCGGTTGATGATCTGGCTCTTTTCGTTTTGGTTTTCTTTTTTTCTCAGGCTGTAGGATCTGCTCCGGAGGAACAGGTGGCACTACCTCCGGGTTGAAGCCGTCTAGCTCATTTTCTGATGTTTCGTTATCTTCTGGAGACTCTGAATTAACAACCGGCAGTTGTAGACTTGGTTCCTGGGTCAATAAGTCCAGAACAGGTTGTTGCTGTATTAAAGATTGGATTTCGAAGTCTGGAAGCATTACATTAGATGCCGAAGGTTGGTTGATTTGGTTGGTTGGCGTCGCTTGAGGCGGCTGTGGTCGGTTTGTCGGCTGTGGATTATTGTTTGGAATGAATGTTGATACCGGAACCGCATAAGCAAGCCAAGTAGCCAGCGATGGAGTCTGAATGATATACATGGATGTTATGCCGCATGTTGTTTGGTTAGCGTCGGGAGGAGATCCTTGGACGTCTTGGATTGCGCCGCTGTCCATCTCCAAAAAACGGCGTAAGTGGAACCTAAAAAGAAAATATTGTGTAATAAAACGTACTGCTCGATATTGATATGATTGGTAACAAGCTTCTAAAACAAATCAGTAAATTATTCATTTAATTGTGACGCACAGCTCAGTGCCCTTATCCCCTTATTATTTTTCAACTGGGACAAAATGAAAAACCGAAGGGGGTAGAGTGCTGAACCAAGTAAATTTAAACGCGACATACATAATATTGCACTACTATTTTACACTCAAAATGTGCAAAATAATAAAACAACAGACAAGCGATTTAAAATAAAAATGTAAAAAAGTACTCACATTCACAAAGTGTCTACCTCGTTCACACAACACATACGAAGCAGCTTTCCTACAGATAGGAACGAGGGACGCAGAAGGCCGCTTGCAAACTCTCATTTACAGGTTGTGTGCAACACCAAAGGAATGCTGCATCAAGTATACGTACTATTACACTTGTTGACAAACTAAATTGACAATATTTCAATTCTCTTAACATATTATTCTGTCGAAAAGCCATAATCAATAGCATTTGCTTTGTATGTTCTGCTATATTAGTAGAGTTAATGAAAAAAGGTAAAGGTTTTAAATACACAGGTACAAATGGGACCTTCTTATGAAGACTCAGATGTCCATCTGTCTATCAATAGCTATTTTTAAAGATGAGGTACTTTTTTGCTTCTATATAGATATTAATGTTAAATTGAGTAGAGTATGTAAGATTGAGACACTTTCTCATACCATACTTGTGAATGTTTATCAATTTAGAAATGTTTTTTTGAGCCCCCTCAAGATTGAGTTGCAACTGGAGCGTTTTCAAAATCTCCATTATTGAAATGCTGTCAATTTGTTCTACTTTGGAATCATTTTCAATAGAACTTCTATGTGATCAATAATTTAAAATAAAATCTAGAGCCTAAAAAAATACTTACAGTTAAATATAACAATAGTTTAAGAGTACTTTATTAATTGAACTATCACTAGTTATAAATATGTAATATATTGTATATGCTTATTGCCTGTTTTTATGCCTAATGGTATTCGATCAATAATAGTGCTATTATTGATCGAAGAACATTAATAGTACTATTATTGATCGAAGAACATTAATAGTACTATTATTGATCGAAGCTAATGTTGTATGTATAATATTGTAAGAAATATTTCATCATTCAACTACAGGAACTGTAAGTATTTTTTTTTTATTTAATTTACTTTAAATTTTAAAATGTTGAGTTTCCAGAGTTATGGTGTTAATTGTTCCATGGGAACTCTTATTTTATAGAAATACTAGCACTAACAGACAACTTGTGTTGTGCTAACAATAAATAGAGTGTTTTTGCAAGCGGTCTGTAAATTAAAAAGAGACATCCAAGGCGGCATGCGTAGCTGCTTTTTTAGAATTGTCATGAAAAACAAAAGGACTTTTCATTTATGTGTTTACCGGATTCTTATTTTATATTATTATCGAATTTAATATATATATATATGTGTGTATATAAGAAAAGGAAATACTTAAATAACAAATATATAAGTATCTTCAATGATCCTTGGTTTTAATCAGCCTATGAAACCTAACTAAACTATAACAAATATGTTTAATATATCCAGTAAGTTTAATAAAAAACAACAGCTCAAACACTGACTCCACCCGACCACACCCACAATGAACTTGCAACCTACATTTCAAGTTTCACTCCACCCTTAACTCCCCTTTGGTACACACCCCCCAGCCCCCAGTAATAAACCAATATAGACTGGGAAACGCATTCGCGACGCCCGGGCCACAGCTCTTCACTTTCCCCTACCTCCTTCTCACTACCACCCCCTACCCCTACCTACCCTACCCCCTATACTCCTTCCTGCACAATTCTTACCCCATCCTCTTCCTCCCTACCTGACAAAAACCCTCTGTCTCCCTAACTCATCCTCCAGAACTGTATCTGCATTCATTATCATATATTTATAAATTCTTGCAAATACATCATAATAATCGCTGGGCAAAATATTATATTATAATCTAACCATATTGATCCGGTAGCAGGTTTTGTTTTTCTTTATTATTAATAAATTTGAGCAAAAATAAATATGAGGCATAGCACAAGTAGCTCATGCTAGAAACAGTTAGTTTTGACAATCGCCGTAACAATGAAATTCATTACTTAGTCGCTGAAAAATACAAATAAAATAATAACACCAAAAGCCCACAAAAACTATAGATAAACAGAAATAAAATAAATGTACTTACATGGTTCGGATCTTTATATGTTGACTAATTTTATTCAGTTCAACAGCAAAGCGGTGCACACTAGAGCGCAGTGCCTCTAAGTCCTCGGGGCTCCATACACTGAAATAAAGATTATACATTCAGAAGGAAGTTAAACATACACTTTAATTTCACAAAAGTAAGGTGTACTTCTAACATTTTGCACTTGCTCAAAACTAAAGATGAAGAAAATTGCAGTCACTAGTACAATAATCACGAGCACAAAAACGAAACACTGCTGCTAGAGCTAAACGGCGACTGACGCGCGCAACTCGCACTGCGCGCTACCGGCTAGATTCAGACAAAGGATAGCTTCTAGACTAGCTGAATTGATTTTTCAGGATGTAAGATGTACGATGCGCAGCGCGGAACGCAGCGGGGTGGCTAGCGGCTGCCGCCCAGCCCCACCCCATATTTGCAACCCTGTAATTGCTACAAAAAATGTGCAAAATAACACAGAAATTAATGATCAAGCCAGTTGTAAAAATACTCACTCTGTTGCAAATGAATCTTCCGCAGCCTGTAATGACATTGTCATCTCAGAAAGTTTGTTGAACGCTGTTCCCGCCTCGCGAAATATATCGTCAACCTAATAATAATTAAATTTTTATATTAAAACCAAGGCCTAATTTTTAAGAACCGTAAGAAAAATATAATTAAAAAATATCAGAACTTACTTTTGCGGACGAACTGGTCATTTTAGATAATTAATAATAGAGCAATGTTATTATTTACAGTTTATTTTGGATATTTTATTTGTAATTAATCTTCACTATTACTACTAAGAGGATATTATACTATAACAAATCTACACAACACAGCACATTTAGGTCCAATAAGCTGAAATCTATGTAATTATTAGCCAAATTACTGAATGTGGTCAAGAAAAAGTGTTTAATCGTTACTGCTGTACACTAACACATGCAAATAGATACAAAATACAATGCAAAACGATCGTCAATTATTCACGCACACTCAATACACACATGACGTTTGTGCATACTTCGTGACTTTAAACGTCAGCTGTCAGCTGATAAGATACCTAATCTAAAATACCACAGATTACAAATTGTACAATTGTATAATCTTTTGCTTTTAAGTGTTACCTCAAAACTGCACAGGGACCAATAATAAAATATATCTATTAGAAAGTTTAAGAGATTCAATTAGTTTACGTATTCAAGACGTGACTTTAATATTGCAACACTATACTACAACTAGTGCTATTTTTTAAATTGAATCTCAGTTTTGCAGATGGTTTGTTTTACAGCGAATTGTTAAAATAACGTAAAACTATTATTAATTTTGATAAATATCTGATGAACACAGGTTAAATATTTATGAAAACCATTTTTATCCTTACGGTGTTTTCCTACACCCATCACTAGTGGCAACTCTCTACAACACGTAACAATAAGTATACCTATCTTTACTTTTGCTTTCCTTGTTTTAATGATATAGAAACACTAAATTTATTATTTATTTTAAACTTAAACTTACGAAACGCCATATTGTTCTAGTGATACTTTTTTTTAATTTTCAGCTGATGTTTCAGTTTACCTTAATTATGATGATCAGCATTTATGAATTATCTGTAATAAAAGATAGTCTACTAAAATTACATCTGACCGAATGAAAGAGAAAAGAACGTAAATTGAGTTGAATGAACGGTCTCTAATACATATTTAGTCATTCATTTCATTCAACTCTTGACTAAAATAAAATACATATTAATTTTAGAATCTGACTAAATATTTTAAAATGAATACAAAAGACTCTCTCACTTAACAAATAATCGAAGTAATAAGGAAATGCATAAGCCAGAGGTGTAAGAATATCTTCGTTCTGATGTTCCACCTTCGTTTGTTAGATATTATTTAATTTCGTAAGGACGCCACGCCTGATAGGTGGATGAATATCTTTGGACATAAATAAATATTCCATATAACTATGAGCTCTAAAAATTGCAGTAATATGTTTGGTGTTTGATTTGTGTTCATAGTTTTTATTTGCAATGGAACTTATATTGATTTTATCCGTGGTTGCCGCGGGATATGCCTATGATAAAGGTAAGTAATCATTCTTTCTTATTAGTTTATAAACATAGGTTTCACAATAATATTAAAAACGGTTGATTTACACAAAACATGGGTTATATGATATTCTGTGGATGTTATATCTTCTGAAATAACCATTCATGTTGTTCTGTACATGACTTAACTTCACAACTGCGCCCGTAAATAGGTCCTTTTTAATTCTGGTACCAGATAACAAACAGTACATAAATAATAAAATTGGTAGTTACCCCTTAGAAATACTTCCTAGTTAATTTTATTACTACTCAAATTGTTGTGACTATGTATGAAAACAATCCCATGCTGCATCCAAATAGGATGCAAGAGACAGTTTATTGTATTCAGTTTACTGTAGTATGGATCGATTACTGTAGATAATCTTAGTCTGTATCCACTTGTGTGATTGTGTTGACAATCTGGACCATGCTTTTGTTTGAAACAGGGAATCGGGAAAAAGATGTTTTATGATATAATATGAGATACTTATTCATTATTATTTATCTTAATCTTATAATAATTGGCTGATGATCACTATCTCTTGCAATGGCAATGAACACAGTTCAATAGTTAAAAGTTAAAAGAAAATTGTTTCATATTAAGATCCCTAGCTGTTTTCTCTGATGTTATTACATTGACCAAGCTTCACTGACTAGCTATTGTTCTATTTTGATATTTCAAAGTACCTGTTTAGTTTAATAAATGATTGTGACTTCAAACTGGTAATATATGGTCGAACTCATTTATATTTTTGTGCTATAAGGAACATATCAAAGCAGTTTACAAACCTGTGGTATGGCTAAATACGTTTGCTAAACAGAAAAGAGGCCTAACTCAAAAAATAAATAAAGTATTTCATTGTAAAAAATAAAGTATTTCAATCTTAAAAATTATGCTTCAATAATAAAGTTCAATTTTGGAATATCCTCATTTTTGAGTTAGTCCTTTTTTCTATTTAACATGCGATATGTATGTAAGCAAGACACAATGTTTTTTTTATTGTGCCTCATATATTCACTAACTGGAGGTGAAAGTAGTTGTTGTAGTTAATTTACTATAGTGTATGTTTATGATATGTCATTTATTAAGGGTAGACAGACTTAAGAATGAACAAGTGGGATATATAATAAAGACAGTCCTATATGTAATATGCTTACTCACCTCAGATCCAGTTTAACTACTCCCGGTGATGTTTCCTTATACAGGAATAATTATGTTTGCTTTTTAATTTATTGAATATATCCTTATTCAAGTAAAACTATTAATACTACATTTGTTATTTCCATTTTAACCAAGGCAATTGTTAGTCAGATATTAGTTTACTACTGATATTAGAATATTGGTTCTGAACTCAAATTCTTCAATAATATGAAAAAAAAAGAATCATAAAAAATATGATTGACATTTTGTTTCATAATGTCTAAATAGCTAATTTATATAGTATGAACGATGTTCCACATAAGTTTATTGAGCAGTTTTATAAAATTGTTTATGCATGACATGACAGCCTCTTTGCTTGAGTGCACAAGCACTAGTATTGAGCAAGCAAATTTGAACTTTATGGGGGACGAAAGGTGCCTTTGACAATTCTTTTTTATTATTGCTTACTTACTTTATCTGATTTTGTTTGTTGTAGCATCTTTCTATGGAGCCAGCTACATTTCATACCCACTCCAAGAGGCCAAAGGTGTGACTGATATGAGTTTTCGTTTCCGCACACATCTTGCCGACGCTCTCCTACTTCTTGCTGCTGGCAAAACAGATTATTGTATGGTAAGAAAACTATGTATTATTGTATGAATCGGGTGTTCGTCGTACATTGCTAGTAATGTTGGTGTTTGCGCAAGCGATGCCCAATACGCTACAGGTATGTACGATAAACCTTCGACGCAATTCGCATCTGCGCGATACTTGTAGAAACACTCTTACTCTCATAAACCTTTTCTACGAAGTTAATTACAAAATTTACACAAATATACAGTACTTAACGGCAAAAAAGTTTTTATACTTTTTACGAGAATTACGCATGACTATTGCGTGAACACGTCAATTTCTCGGAAAGTTACCGATGAACTGACAGGTAATCGGAAATCCAATCTGTGTTAGGAAAAACAAGAAGCAAGCGTACCAATTATCTGTAATCGATACCTTTGACTGCGTATAGTTGAACATTGCAAGAAACTAATTATGTTTTTGAACTAAAAAATGCGATATAGTTAAGTTTTTATAGATCGCTGCCGAATTTTTATGTTCTGATTATAACTGACAAAATATTTCGCAAATTAATTTTAAGTATTTGTTTTAGAGTTTCTAAATATTTTAAAAAAGGACAGCTCCTTCTTCTTTATATTAGTTCGACGGCTTAATTTTAGTGTCGTAAAAGAATAAGAATTTTTCAGAACCCAACTTGAATTATGTAAAACGTAGGTAAGGTTTAACTTTTTCTTCTAGATACGTTTGGAGGGTGGCAGGCTCAAACTACATATAAATCTTGGCGCAGGCGAAAGTGAGCTTTCATCCCCCAAAGGGATACACTTGAATGATTCGCAATGGCACCATGTCAGCATCATTCGCCGCGAAGCTAACCTGACGATGAAGGTATGTAATTTTGCTTAAAGCGGGTTAAGCGGTAACGTTATTCTCTTTGGAACAAAAGCTCCAGCTCTCGCTTCGTAAACACAAGTCAAAGTCAAAGCCAAAATCATTTATTTCAATTAGACCCATACAGGCACTTTTGAATGTCAAACAAAATTTTAAAGATATAAAGAGTCAGTCTGTCGGTCAGTCCTCTTAGTGAAGCTATTCGCTCGTTCCAAAGTGTTGATTCCGATGGAGAAGAACGAGCAAGAAACTCCATGGTTACTCTTTTTACATCAGTGTCACATAAAGATTATTTGATAGATTATTTAGATGGTTTGATTATGTGACGGCAAATTGACGGCGCCCGTTCACGAGCATGACACGTACACTAGCATCGCCCAACTCAACCATAATATAGGGAATCGAACGATCCAGTGACCGTTTTTTTTTGTGAGGGGAAAATCATCAAATGACCTCTAAATTAGACCCATACAGGCACTTTTGAATGTCAAACAAAATTTTAAAGATATAAAGAGTCAGTCTGTCGGTCAGTCCTCTTAGTGAAGCTATTCGCTCGTTCCAAAGTGTTGATTCCGATGGAGAAGAACGAGCAAGAAACTCCATGGTTACTCTTTTTACATCAGTGTCACATAAAGATTATTTGATAGATTATTTAGATGGTTTGATTATGTGACGGCAAATTGACGGCGCCCGTTCACGAGCATGACACGTACACCAGCATCGCCCAACTCAACCATAATATAGGGAATCGAACGATCCAGTGACCGTTTTTTTTTGTGAGGGGAAAATCATCAAATGACCTCCCAGGGCCGGGCGGGTGGGAGTGTCAGACTCTACTGACTAAAAACCCCCCTGTTCCTTCTCCTGCTCTGGGCTGAGGTCGCGGTGCCTCATTGCGCTTACCCCGCAACCCCGGCTGATCCAGTGACCGTGCCACCGCCAATGTGACCTTTGAGTGAGCATGACAACTCCAAGCTGACATAAGGACAGACATTCTGCTAGTCTAACTAATTGTAATAGGTTACAGGGCACTCACATTTACAAATTTATCAAGTTTAACAATAAAAATCACATGGATACAAATTTACAAAATCTAAGAATTTCCGTTCAAGCAAATATCCACTGGAACATTATTTATATTCGTGTAGGTATATTATCCTGTGGAGCAGGACCAGCCCGTCTCCAAACATCCTTATCTTTAATATAATCACTCAGTTTGTAATATGCTTTTTTACACAAAGTTTTCTTTACGCAAAATTTAAAATTTCTTTCATTTAATTCTTGTATTTCGCCTGGGATTTTGTTATAACACTTAACGCTGAATCCCATGAACGACTTGTGTACCTTTGCCAATCTAAATAATGGCTGACACAATCTATCTCTATGTTTAGTTTGATAATTATGTCTGTCTGATACCTAATCAAATAATTTTAAGTGTTTCATAACATACATTATATTTTCATAAATAAACTGACCGGGCAGAGTCATAATATGGATCTCTTTAAACAATAAATAAATATACACATTACACCCAGATCCAGAACAATAGTTTGTGGATCGTTTTCTGCAGAATTCACTTGGCACTTTGCACTGTAGCTATAAAATCGTACAAACTTGTACTGTATCGTTAAAAAAACTTTCAATCAGGATATCGAATTGTCATTAGATTAAAAAAATATATTAAATAAATAAAGTAAAATTCTGTACGGATAAATTCACTCACTTGATACTAAAGATGAAATCGTATAATTACAGGTGGACGAAACAGCTGTTAAGAAAAGATTGCCGGGACGATTCTTTGAACTAAACATTCATTTTGGTATATTCCTGGGAGGTCAGGGCGACTTTTCCGAACTCTTCTTGGGACACATGGAAAATTTCCGTGGTTGCATGGAAGATGTAAGTATAATTATTATTTATGTGTTGTTACTGCCAAAACTGACAACTTTGCTGTTGTATTTCAATAAATCAGACTGTTTTTAACGAAAAACAGTAGATGTACATAATAGTTATAATAGTATTATTAACTATTTTTAGGTTTATTACAATGGTGTGAAAATCATTGAGAAAGCCCGCAGTCGCTCTGGCTCAGTCCACGTAGAAGGTGTGACGTGGAATTGTGCTCCAGAGTTCGATGCTGACCTTAATTCCGACATCAGTTTCGTTGATGAGGGAGCCTACCTCATACTGCCGAGGATAAATTCCAGAGCTGGAGGAAAGTAAGTCTAAACTCAAAGTCAAAACGTTTATTTTACTTAAAAGAAGTTTTAGAACTTCAAATATATAAATAATAAAAAATACTTAAAGTATATACATAGCCAATACCACTTTAAATTCAATATCAAATATTAAAGAATGATTTCAAATATTTCAGATGGCAAATAGAATTCAAAACAATAGCACAGAATGCGATAATTCTATACAACGCTGGGGGCGGCCGGGGCTCTGATTTCTTAGCTGTGGAGATCTTAGAAGGTGTAATACGGGTCAAAATGGCTCGTGGTCAGATTGTCCATACAGTGAGAGTCAATGATGGGCAGTGGCACAAGATGCATCTGTCTTTCTACCCTTCCATGATTGAGGTGAGCTTTTCTTAATTTAATTTTATTCTAAGCTTATTAGGGTTAGAACATTATGCCCCATTTTGTTTTTTTCTTTCTCTTCAGAGGTCGTCCTACTACAAACTTTGACGGATGTCACTTCAAGCTTTGTTATGCTTGCTAAAAATAGTATTTTAATTGCTATTTACACTGTCGCTCTGTGTTCATGATAACCCCTTTGTGACCTATGTATCTCTTTCTCGCTATGCAATTGTTGTTAATATGCGCCTGTGGTTCTTTATTAAATTTAAACATATGTGAAAGGTTTATTAGCACTATGCGATTGAAAGAAAATATAAGTCTAAGGTTTGATGTCTATTGCTATTACGTAAGTTCAAGCAATGCGAATTTTTGCTTCAACATGCTGTGCGTGCAAGCTTTTGATTGAAGAAATAAATGAATAGTTTGTAATTATGCTAGCTTACTTTTAGGTAATATCCCATAGTCCGTTTTATCAGCTTTGAATTACGTAGTCTTAAATAGTACTTCAGTACCTGTGTTCGAACCTAAAACTACGAACTTAAACTCGCTTTGCGCAATTGGCAAACAAATCAAATTTGAATCATAAATATTCTGGTTTTAGTACTTTATTTAACTTGCCTTGCATTTAAATGCGTTGCGAAATATGTATAATCTATACGAAATCGAATTATTTTAGTCTGATGAACATTTTAGTGCATTGCAATTGAGTCAAGTAAACGATTCGCACCTTATGAGTATCCAGTGCTGAGCAAAGACCTCTTAAGCGAATTAATTGCACCAATGTACAAAAATAAGTACGTAAAGCTTAAACAAATAAAGCCACTAATTTAATTACTACGATGTAATGAATGGTAAACATATTGCCATTTGCAATAGAAATAATTTTAATAAAGCAATGCGAAATTCTACTTTAAAGTTGTATTAGCGAAATGTACATGCTAGTCAAAAATTGCAAAGCAGTAAATAAGATAACAATACTTACTATTCAAACCATGTTAATGGGTTTTTTGGAAATTAGTTGATACTCACAGCTTCGTCGACGTGGTTATATATAATTTATTATATCCATTTCCTTATGAAAAAAACTTATGATAATTTTATAGCTCGATGAATAGTCAGGACAGATTTAATGGATATGCCACAATTTTATTAATGTTCGTGGCATTCTGGCTTCTATTTACGGCTCCATTGGTATATGTATAGATAACTCATTCACAGTCAGCCATCTAAATATATAGAGGCAGCAGAACCCTGAAATAATCTTTATGCTAATTCAATTGCTATTTTTTTATATAATAAACAGACTGCTACAAAATATCTTGATATCTTTTTCCACTTTGATAAAATTTGCCGGGCAAAATGTGTGAATAATGGTGGCAAAATCTTATAACTGAAAGTTTTATTTATAATAATTAGTAGGTTTAAAACGAGGAATATAATAAAGTTTAATTTAAGGCCTGGTTATGCGTGTTAGAATCAATAAAGCGACTTCTCTTAACGTGCATATCAAATCGTCATCTAAGCTTATCTTTTCCTCTGTGTTGGTGATGTGTGTGTGAACTATGTTATTTTTTATTAAATGTAAATAACTTTGCGTAACAACTATTGAATAAGTCTACCCTGTGTGTTATTGTACCTAGACGTAATACATATAAATAATTGGTAATTAATCTGTTACTATTTAGGTCCTTTGAATGGAAATTAAAAATGTTGTACTATATTCGCCAATCATACTCTTTCAGTTGACCGTTGACAACATAGCAATGCACACGCGGATTGAAAGTGGTGGCACGAGGTACCTAGATCTGTCAGACTCTTTCTACTTAGGGGGTATTGACAGTGAGAAGCAACAGAGAGCCTTCACAAAGGGCATCAAGGCTGCTGACTCCAGTATTATGGTGAGTTACGTTAGTTTTATTACTTACTAGCGGCCCGCCCCCGCTTCGCACGGGTCCAGCTATCTCGACATCAAAGGGTCACTTTTCCTAAACTTCCCCTCTACTTTTCTAATATTTTCTTTGATAAGAACCTTCTCCTGACAATAACAAACACAAAAAAAAAGAATTAGCAAAATTGGTCCAGCCGTTGTTGAGTTATGCGCTTACCAACACATTTTGCGATCCATTTTTATATTTTATTACTTATTCACCAATAATTTTCTTTCAAGTTGCTTAAAGTATCGCCTTCCCATTTCCCATCGATTTCAATCATGGTAGCCTATCTGTCTTACTAGACCAGCCAACTACACAGGAGATATTTTTTCGGGAGACAGTTTTCGACAACTCGGCCAGCATAAATGGACATAAATACATTTGTTTCTCTCTAAAAGTACAGAACTTTTGGTCTCATAAAACTCACAACTGGTCCAAACCTACCAAACATAAAATGAACTTGCATTCGTTGTTTGCAATATGGTTTTCAAACATAATTTTCGTTTTCAGGGTTGCATCAAGCCAATAGAAGTGGATGAGAAAATCTACGGGCTCCCAAACGCTGTGGTTACTTACGGCGTAAGTCCGAAGTGTGTGTGGTGGTATCCTTGCCATTCGAGTCCCGGCAATCCACCTTGTGTGCCACAAGGTGTTTGCGAACAACATGGCGTCGATCACTTCACTTGCAAGTGTGATTCCGATCTGTGCATCAACCCTGACTACGCTGAGAAGTATAAGGTCTGTATTTTTTATATGTGTATTGAAATTCAGTGTAGCTCGTAAAATACTAATAAGTAAAATGTTCTTGAAATTAATTTTACTATATTTTTTAATTGGGTAGTTTCGTAGGGCAAAAATAAATTAATTTGACGTTTCAATGCAATAAAATATTGAAAAATATACGTCATTCATTGATCTATCCATATAATTTAGCTAATTTTGAAGAAATCAATAAGCTCATTGTCGCAAAAACACAGTGTCATACGAATTTTATAGAAAAATATCGTTTTTGACATTTGAATAAAAGTATTGAATTTGACTAATTGAAAACTACCGTATTACAGGTATTCTCAAAATCAAGCAGTGAACTAGAGCTTGTTGCGCTTTTTCCCTTAACCGTACAAGAGGGAGGCGTCTCAGTGATAACTACACAGAATATAGACGTGGTCCTCGATCATCACAAGTATGGCGTACGCCCGTCAGGCGTATTGCTACACGTTGCCCAGTCACCACAACACGGCCGAATCGCCATCGACCTCTCACTTCAAAGAAATTCGCAGCAATACAACTTTATCGAAGGGGAACCCAAATCCAAACAGTTTTTTACACTGCTGGACTTGTCTCGGGATAAGGTAAGGAAGATTTTATGGTTTTAAACTGAGTAAAAAGTAAACATAGTGGTGAAAGTGTCATAATAACTAGTGACAAATTTCATTGTTGAAAATAAAATAACTCACTGTAGTAAGCTAAAAAGCTCTGTTAGGTTCAGGTCACTAAGGGACTGTTATAGTGACTTACGTCACTTACTAGTAGTAAGTAGTAGAGTTTTTGGAAACAAAAACTTTCGAAATGACGTTTAAATAATAGGACACACTTAAAAAAACACACCTTTGAGTAAGTTTCGTGTTTTTCTATAAAATACGTACTAAATGTATTCAGAACGAACTATTAACACATTATTTCTTACAACAGGTTCGCTACGTTCACGACGGTTCTGAAAATCACCAAGACGCAATTGTCTTGGACATGGAATTAATTCCTGAGACAAAGTTCACGTTACCAAGTTATCTTCAAGGAAGAAACACTTTCGTATTACATGTCAACGTCACGCCGGTCAACGACCCGCCTGTACTTAATTTATTGCCAGGCAAAGTCTTGAGGCTTACTCAGGTAAGTTTATTAAAATTTTTGAACACAGTAGTTGTGTTAAAGACACATTAGCTTTTTTATAAAAAATGTTTTTATTACAAAAACATGTCATTTGCATTTTTACATTGATTTTTTTCTGATTTTGCTTTATCTATTCTAGTCTGTACAATTTTTTTTATATAGAAAAAAGTTTTTTTTCTTGATACGGCTCCGAAACTGCTTGGCCGATAAGTATTATTTTTTTACATTTGTTGGAAGCTATATTGTACCCAGTGAACATAGTCTAGAAACTGCGTAAAAACAAATACAAGTTATTATAAACCTCTACTATATAGTTGTTACTGTTCAATGATGGCGTTTTAAACAATTGTATGATTTGATACAAAATATTTTTGGATTCAAATAGATATTCCACTTAAATTACAGTTTAAGCTGCATCATATGCACCAAATGGACTATATTTAAAAATATCAATACTGTCATGTCACTTTAGATTTGGTTAATCCCACATTTAAAAGTGAGCATTGCACGATAACCAATTAATTTTAGCATGGTTTGAAAATAAAAGCCTGCTGGTATTTATTTGAATTTTTATTTATTCTTTTTTTGAACTAAAACTATTTTTATATATTTTTTTGTTTATTATTTTGTTATTTTCAGAATGTGTCCAGAGCTTCGAATAATGTTTTTATTTGCTTTTGTGTAGTTGCATGCATTATTTTGCCCCACAAACACCGAAAGCACTGCAGATTAATCTTTAATTTATTTGTGTGAGTATGTTTATTTAGTTTACTAATTTATTAATGTTTGAAAGTAATTTACCGAAAGCTATAAGGTAGTAATGCTAATAAATATGATTTATGAAAATGTAAGCAGTTTTGTTTACTAAATATGCCAAACTGCTATAATAATACTAAGAAAACAAAACAAGTAACAAGTCTGACACTATATGCCTAATGGTATAAATGTGAAAGTTTCTATATTATTTATATCTCAAGTGAAATGAACTGAATGAAGGATCGGCCTGAATTTCGAATATCGAGGTATAAATAAAAAAAGATTGTATCTGGGATAAAAATAACTTACTCCTAAGATAATATTCAAATAGCAACACTAGCAAGGCACGGCAGATACTGCTGTTATGAATGCAAAACGCTTATCACGAAATAACAATGAGTATGTTTTTTTTGTATCGATGCATGATTTTTAGTTTTTTACTCAATTTCAGTTAATATTTTTAAAGAATAACCCAATACAATGAGACCCCCTTATCAAAGCTGAGCAATATAGCTTTTTTTTGTAGGGGAAATCATCATATGACTTCTCCAGGAGTGTCAGACTCTTACTGACTAAAAACCCCCCTGTTCCTTCTCCTGCTCTGTGCCGAGGTCGCGGTGCCTCATTGCGCTTACCCCGCAACCCCGGCTGTCATTCAACGTTTTCGTTGGGATGACCAAGTACCAGTTTAAAGTAGATTGGGACTAGTGCAGTCCAAATGGGTAGTTTACTAGGTCAATAATAAATGAATTCGATATTTCAATACAATACAACTATACTCTTATTTGTCTATCTGTCGATATACTAAACTTTCTATGTTTTTTACCTGATTTTTAAGAAATAAGTATGCTATTTGGTGCAAAAACACTACCGCCTCATAATTTGAAGATTTTGACATTTGGATAAACGTATTGAATTTGACTAGTTGTAAACTACCGTATTTTCCTTACTGTCGTGCTTATTGTAATACTATTACAGGGAACACGTAAAGTGATCACTTCAGATATACTAAAGGCTGAGGACCCTGACACAGCTCCTGAAGATCTTCTGTACACTGTACTACACGGCAAAAATGAAGCTAATAGGTCAGTATTCGAAACCACATCTTTCACACTTATATTACGCTAGATATTTTATAAATATTCTTATTATTAAGCCCATATTTTTATGGTATAAGTTGGCAAACGAGCAGACGGATTACCTGATGGTACGCAATCAGAACCGCCCATGGACACCCGCAACACCAAAGGAGTTACGAGTGCGTTGCCGGCCTTTTAGGTATAAGGATTTCGGATATTTAAGGATTGAGAAGGAATGGGGGAGGGGTAGAGATTGGGCCTTCGGTAACCTCACTCACACGTTTTCGGTGAGGCCGTGGTATCACAGTATCACTCCAGTCGATCCCATTCGTGCCGAAGCTTGGCTCTCCCACAAATCACACTCATAGCCTAAACTCAAATTGAGCATAATTATACTGAATTTGTTTTTTTTTAACAGCGGCCATATTGAGATGTCTGGTCAACCAGTGGATTCCTTCACCCAACAGGACATTGATGCAGGAGTTATTTCGTACGTCCACGGAACTACGAACGATAAGCAACTTAACAAGACTTCGCTCAGGTTGACTTTACAAGTGAGTAGCATTTGTCACATGCTTACCTACTGCGGGGCCATTTGGCCAGCCCATGCCATGTGCCTTCCATCAATTCGCTGTTGAAAATTTCACTTGAATATTTAGCTCAACACAGCGTCAACCCTCCGCTAGCGTGGCCCACATTATATTCCCCATTGATTGCGTTCAAAAAGTTATTGTTATGTAACGGTTACTATAAACAGTTATACTCTGAAAAATCTGATGAAGGAACATTTTGACTGTTGCGTTTATATTCTGTTGTCACAATCCTTATACTTCTTCAGTTTTTCGATTATATGGTCTCTTTGCTACAATTATTAACATAATTAAACAATTATGGTTAAAAAAATTTTTGTAAAAAATGTTCTGATAAGAATAGGGCTTCTCTAACTAGAACTATATTAAATCGCATATCAAGCTTAAATTACAAATCGATTACACTTAATACGCCTTTGGTTTTGCTATATTGATTTTCTATTGGGTGTTTGAAGGCAGAATACAAATTATTTTTAATTCTCCATGATGAATTAATGACTTCTTAGAATATAATCATCCTACATTAATTGAATGATTTGACGATATACATAACTTTACATTTTTTCTAGCAAATTATTGAGTAGTATGCTATTTGATCTTAAAACCTAATGACATAATATTATGTTGAGATTAAAAAAACACATTTTAGATAGTTAAATTACCCATATTTCAATAAAACTATTGAGTTTGTCTAGTTAGAAACTACTGGATTAAAATTCTTCTATGTAATCACATTATCACATCATATCATCAGCCTATAAGTGCCCACTGCTGATCAATTGCCTCTTCGCACACGGAGAAGGTTTGAGCATTTATCACCATGCTTGCTCAAGGAAGATTGGCAATTTCAAACTTATAATTAGATATTATAAGTACAGCTTTCCTCACGCTCTTTTCCTTCACCGTGTGTGAGTGTGTGTGAAGTGAAATTAGTAAAGGCTTAACTAAATCGTGTGATTATTCCACAGGTATCCGACGGCATTGAGACAAGCGGGCCTGGTATCCTCCGAATATCTATAGTACCATTACAAGTACGGTTAGTCAACAACACGGGATTACAGTTGGTACATAATTCTTACGCCATCATCTCGGCTGACAACCTTACCTTCACGACTAACGCGGATGAAACCAACGTACAAGTGAAGTAAGTCATTTTTCTTTTATCAGATCGTCTCCTCTTATAAATTTAGGCCTTTAAAGTATTACTCCTTACTTGATTTTCAGTTGAAAGAAAGAAAAAGTATTTATTGGCGTCTAGGACGCACATATAGACACAAAACAAACAAGTGTACATAAAAACAAAAAAAAATGGTAATACAATGTAAAAAAGAGTAATTAGTATAAGGAAAAATATGCGTCACAAGCACGCGAAATGGCCCTCGCCCAGCATGTCATTGTCATTTGTTAGTCCTACAATAGGACAGTCTCCTGGATTAAAACAAGATTCTAATTAGTTCGTCAGTTAGATTATAGAAAAATACTCGATACGTTTTTTTTATTTGTCCATACGAATAATATTGACGAAGATACAGCACATTCAAATTCAGGAGAAGGGGCTCGTGACGTCAGTCTTTCGTTAAGAAAAAAATAATGACTTAGCGCGAACTTTCGCCGCTCTGTAACTTTGTTATTTTAAGTTATAGAAGCAAAAATACGTATCCACTATTTTCTGGCGTTCTAAAAGATGGACTAATTATTATTTTTTAGTCATCATCCCTATTAACCAATATTAACAAAATCATTTATTTAAAGTACTCATGATATAAGGGAGGTGGGAGGCATGGCATGTATGCGTTCTAGTGTATCTCATGAAGCACGTCTTTACAACAGTAAATACAAAAAAAAAATATGTAGTAGGACGACAAACGAGCAGACGGATTACCTGATCGTAAGCAATCAGCGCCGTCATGAATACGTTACCAACATTTTGGGGATTAGGTTTTGGAGATTTAGGGATGGTGAGGTGAGGGTGGGGAAGGATGAGGTCTCCGATAACCACACTCACATGGCAAAACACAACACTGTTGTTGTTACACGCCGATTTTCTGTGATCGTATCACTCTGGTCGCTCACCCATTCGTGTCGAAGCATAGCTAATAATTCCCATACCAACGCTTAGCTTAGCAATAGCCATTTTTTATAATTACATTTTGTGGTTTTATAAAGGTACGACATAGTGAAGCCGCCACAGTTCGGTGTGGTGGAACGTTTACGAGTATTGGATGGTACCTGGCAGACTGTGGACTCGTTCACCAGCGAAATGGTGACGTTTGGTCGAGTGCGTTACATGCATCTACTTGGAAATCCTTCACATGACGAGTTCAAGGTGAGATACTTAATTATTTTTGAATAGTAACTTTAGCAAGACGCAATGATATGAAAATACCGACTTAGTCACGTGAGTTAACCGAGAAAAATTCTACTAGTTTCAATTCACAAAGGGACTCTTATATATGTACCACATGTGCGTCGCACGCGCTTTGTTGATTCCCGCACGGAACAACTCTTTGTGTGATGCACAAATTATTGTTTCGGGTCTGGGTGTGATGTGCACGTGAAATTGTATGTTTGTAAACGCACCCACGACACAGGAGAAAATCCTATTGCGGGGCAACGTTTTTATAAAAAGAAAAAAAAGTCACTCAATATCGGCGCAGGAGTAAAGTAATTAAAGCTTTTCTCAGTTAATTCACTAAAGTAAGTCGTTATCCTCAATAAGCTTAATACTGCAGTATGTCTCCATTCATTATTTTGAGTTTCTACTCAGAACCCTGCATATCATTAAAACAGTGATCTTAGAATGTAGTTTTCAGTCAGTGTATTGTTGTCTTGTGCAAAATGTAATTATTAAATTTATTTTGTTCACAGTTCAAAGCATCTGTGGGATCAATACGAACGAACACACTATACGATTTTCGGCTAACGTTTATAAAACTCGAACTGTATCAATCAGTAAACGAAGAACTAGTTCTTAATAACACGAGAGAGGCATTCATTTCGTCTCAGCACCTTACGTTTAAGACTAATCCTCTTGCACTACCGAGCGACCGTGTCGTCTACACGATACTGAGACCTCCTAAGTACGGTATTCTACATTTATCTTCAGGCAAACATCACCTGCAAATGCATAGTACTTTTACACAACAGCATATCGATACAGATCAGCTGTGGTACCGACTGCACAGGAGAGCGTATTCCCATATACAAGATGAGTTTACCTTCGTAGTGGGAGCCACTGAATGCAAAAATATCACGGGCGTGATGACTATAAGACACACACCCGGCACTCCCTCCTCTGACCGGACAGAAGGTCGAGTTCACACCACGCTAGAACGCTTACAGGTTACCGAAGGTTCTAGAATGGTCATACCAGCCACACACCTCAATTTCCGCACAGATGCAGTCACTAACCTAATATTTAACATCACACATTTACCGAAGCACGGAAAAATCGAAGTGATCAACGATATCCTTAAAGTATCGAGGGATAACACGACTTATTTCACTCTGGAAGAACTGAATTCTGACAGAGTGTATTACGCTCACGACGACTCTGAAAGTCGACACGATTCATTCCATTTTATGGCTCTAAGTCCGGAACCCGAAGACTTCCAATATGTAGGGGTGTTCCACATTGATATTATATTGAAAAATGATAATAGTCCCGTGAGGGCGAACGATAATGTATTCCACATCGTCCACGGAGGGGCGAGACTCATCACTGCACGAGATTTGAGCTACACCGACGCGGATTTAGATACTAAACCATCGGATATTATCTACACAGTTCAAAGATACATTAAGGATCCTCCGAACGGTGGGATATTCCGCGCGGATAATCCTTCCGAGCAAATAGCACAGTTCTCTCAAGACGACATCAATAAAAACTTGGTGTTGTTCAAGCATCAAGGTAAAGAATACGGTAAAATGGCTTTCTGGATATCGGATGGGTTGTTCGATGTTAACGGCAACCTGGAAATACAGGCGTCACCTCCTTTCATAAGAATGTATCCAAGTAACGGATCCATTGTGGAAAATGGCAAAGCTGTAGTTATTACTTCAAGAGACATGCAGGTAAATATTAATTATACCATTATTAGGCGGCCAATTATTGATGCATTTTAAGCTCATATTAATTTCCATTTGTATAATCATTAATTATACGTATTGTCTTTCAGGTCGACACTAATATGAATTGTTTAGAAGAAGACATTCGTTACGAAATCACATTGGAGCCGAAACACGGCACTATCGAGGTCGGTGAGGGCCAAGGAGCATTTACATTCACACAACTAGATGTGACAGCAAGCAGAGTTGCCTACAGACATAGGGAACCCAAGACTCCCACTGATCAATTCAGGTAAATTAATTATACCAACGTCGTAAAGTTATTACATATTCTATGACTCAATTTAATTACAATATAATCTATACGAATATTGTTATGCTGCAGAGGTTGTTTGTATGTTTGAACGCGCTAATCTCCAGAACTACTGGTTCGAATTTAATAATTCTATTCGTGTTGGTTAGTTCATTTCTCGAGGAGGGCTTTAGGTTATAAAAAACCACTCTACGATTTGTAGGAGCCGAGCAGCGAGTGAAACCGCGCGACAGAAGCTAGTATTTTTTATAAAATTTTACATTTATTAAGCTTATTTTACCAAAAATACTTGATATCTAAAGTGTAAATAAATATATTGTTAACAGGTTCAAAGTGATGTGTCTTGACACTTGGGGCGAGGGTGTCTACGTGATAAAGATATTTCCGTCCAGTTACTGGGAACCATTGCGTGTGACCACTAACTTACCGCTCGTGGTTGAAGAATCCACCAGTGTTAATATCACTAAGGATATTTTGGAGGTATGTATTATAACATCGCTTTTATTATTCGAAAACGTAATGCGTATCTATGTATTTTTTGTAAACTAAACATTGCCAATTTCGAAATTATCTTTAAAAACATACTAAAATCAAGTTGACTAACGTTCTGCTAATATTTTACGGATCCAAAAGATCCAGAAACAACCATTTAGAAAACATTACGTATATTATGCATAGATACGTACATAATGTGATCATGATTTACGAATTGATCAAAACTGCCCATGAAACCCATCTTGCCAATAGCCATTGAAGGTCTGATCAACTACAAAATCTATTCCCACACTGTTTCCCAGGTAATGCATCCACAAATCGAGCCTTCGAACATAGTCTACCAAGTAACAGAAGGACCTTATCATGGATGGCTTGAAATCACCACTACACCGGGCACTCTAGAGCTGGAGAATTACAACGAAGAGCCAGTGCACATAAAAGTATTCGACCAATCGATTATTAATGCCAATCGACTTGTTTACGTTCAGTCCGGAGTCAACCGAACACGGGACAGGATCCGAATGGACGTCACAAATGGAATTGTATGGCTTCGGGATGTAGAACTTAATGTTGTCATAATCCCCGAACATTTTTACGTACACGCCTACAACCTTACCGTCGTCGAAGGAGAAGCTGTAAGCGTGAAGCCAGATTTGTTCAGAACTATCACAGATTACTACAAAGGAAAAGTGGTCGCGTATAAAGTTGTCGAAAAACCAAAGTATGGAAAAATCGTGATGGCCGATCAGGAATTGAATTTATTGCCGGTGCTCAAACTTAATTCTGGAAATATTCAGGTACATCGAAATTGTTTTCTATGCCTCTTCATCTTCTGTCCTACGTAGGTATTGAACCCGACCTTTTTGATGATGATGATGATGATGCTGAACTGGTCAGCATAATAAATTACATCCCGATATAAAGTTAGAGACTTCTTCTATCTCCACGTAGAAACCAGCCTACCTAATAGAAAATCAGATTTATTTATTTTTACATATAATGAACCCCAAGTAAAACCACACCAGCCGGGGTTGCGAGGTAAGCGCAATAAGGCACCGCGGCTTCGGATTAGTAAGTTTTTAGTCAGTAAGACTCTGACACTCCTTCTCACCCCACCCTGGGCTGGAGAACTAATTTGATGATTTACCCCTCACAAAAAACATACTATCTCTTAGTTTTATGAGATAAGTCACATGAACCTTCTAATTGGTTTTCCTCAGTACTTAAACGATGGATCAGAAGAATCATTGGACGCATTCAAGTTGGTAGCAATGACAGAAAGCAGTAAGGAGAGTGAGCCGTTTTACGTGCACGTTAATATAGCGCCAGTGAACGATGAGCCCCCGATCGTGGCAGCCAATACTGGGCTCTGTGTCTGGGAGGGAGGCACGTTCACTTTCACTACCAAGGAGCTGTGTATGTATATTTTTGAAGTATGTCTTGTATACAGTTAATGAATGCAGGAGAGTATGGTATGAACGGGTCGGATTGACCGATTTGATAACACGGTTTCACTTAAAACTAGTGTGAAGCAACGCATGCGTTGTTGTGTTTTCGCCGTTTAAGTGATGTTCCCCGAGGCCTAATACTCCCCCCTAATGCCCAAACCCTCCTCCCCACTGTTCAACCCCCACTTACCCAATACCTCAGTTCTCAATACCAGCTGTGATGCTTTTTAAACGTACAATCGCCAAACCCCTACCTCTAGTAGTTTCTAATGGCGGTAAAGTGTGTATGATCGGCTCGACCGGAGTGATACCATGGTCTCCCAAAAATTTGTCGTGCAACAACCAATCCGTTATGTTCCGCCATATGAGTGAGGTTACCGGAGGCCCAATCCTTCCCCTCCCCCTAGCCCTTACCGATCTTTAAATCCCCTAAACCAAAACGCTGGCAACGAATTCGGATTTCGGAATCCTGAATAATAAGTTCAAACGAATACACGAGACTGCTTTAAATAAAATAGTTATAATTAATTGAAATGCAATGCGACATATGCTATTTTAAGGCGACTGATGACGTGGTGACGATATTTCTGATTCTAGTTTGATGTGGATGTGGTTTCATAGAGAAAAATTAACAAAAAGTTTAATGATGATAACGTTTTATACTTAACGAAATTAATAGGATATTTTTGCGACTTCAACAGTTCCTAATGGCTCTTATAATAATTTCCAGATGTGAATGACATCGACACTCCTCCCGAGAATGTGACAGTGCGCGTAGTGGACATCGTATCTGGGTACATAGCAATGCAAGGCAACCTCGACACCGCCGTACACCACTTCACTCAAGCAGACATCGATAAGGGAAAAGTTGTTTTCGTTCACAAAAGTAAGTCTTTTTTTTTTTTTTGATGTATGTTATATACTTTAGATAGTAACATAAATATCTTGTCAATTAAAGTCTTCTTATTAATATTACAAAATTATCAAATCTTAATCGTTTCACGCAATGGCAATAATTTTGTGGAATTATTTACACAAAACGCAAGAATTTTTAATACGATATTCTCATAACTTTTTCTTACAGACGGTACAAAAGGAAAAATGATCTTCAACGTCACCGACGGACTACACGAACTATCCAAAATCACGTTCCTAATAACCACAAAATCAGTATCACTTAAACTGACAAGAAAACACAATATGAAAGTGTTTCCACTTATGAGAGAACCTCTGAACAATTACATGCTAATGTCTAAATGTTCTGATCCTACGAGAACTATAATATACAAGATAGAACGAGCTCCTACTTTGGGGAGACTTATAATGCTGAACGGAGAAAGCCATCACAGGTCTATAAAGCAGTTTACCCAACAAGACATCAACAACACGGTCGTGTTTTACGAACATACACATCCTTTCTCTGATTTGTATACGAATGATTCGTTTATATTCACAATCGAAGCTCCTCTTGCCAAACCGCTAACTGATCAAATCTTCAACATCGACATTTCTGTATCATCTGGTGGTCTCGCTAAGTACGTCAATATACCTCCCATAAAAGTCCAGGAAGGAGATAAAGTGCCTATCAAAGTGAATGTTAGTAACGTTATCACATATTTAGAAACACAAGCTGGGTTGAGACAGCCTCAGATCGAAGCTCAATGGTCACAGCCGTCTCACGGAGAGCTAAAACCTTTCATGTCGTCTTTAACCCAATCGCAAATCGAAAGCGGAGTTGTGAACTACGAACACGACGATTCAGACACAACACAAGACAAAATTGACATGGCGTTATTCCTTCTGCCTGACTATGTCCTTCTATGTAACGTGAGCATCATCATACACATTACTCCGGTGAATGACCAACCATTCCGCTTACTAACTGACACGCCACAAATACAAGTGGTACAGGGCGAGAACTATACTATCACCAAGAATGATTTACTCACCGAAGATGCTGACACCGGACCGGCAGGAATACTTTACGATATTATAAGCGGACCCACGCAAGGCAGAATGGTCATGTTGGATAAAAACCAGACAATAGACGATGCACATTCAATCAACAAGTTCACACAAGACGACATAAACAACGGCAGAGTGGTATACGAACATTCTGGAATATTGCAGACAGCTACATTCTATTTCAGAGTGTGGGACGGACAATTTAAGCCTACGTATACAGTATTTACTATTGATGTTATACCAGTAATTCTTAATGCTACGTCGTTGCATCCCATATACCTGCAACAGGGGTCTAATGTAGCAGCAGTAACTACAGACCAGATATACGTGGACACGAATGCAAAGACGTCCAAAGTTCTGTACAATATCACACGTCAGCCACTCCATGGTATGGTGTATGTCGGTAGGAACCCAGTGTCTTACTTCACCCATAGAGATTTAATGGAGAAAGTCGTTATTTACATGCAGAACGACATGACTACTGCAAATGATAGTTTTGATTTGATTGCTTACGTGCACAATAGTAACGCGACGCGACCATTTACGATAGAAGTTATTGTGCAGCCTTTGATGACATTGGGTGACTTACGAGTAGAAGTGGAAAAGGCCAGGATCACTCTCCGTACAATGGATGCGAGTGGACTGGCGAAGCTTACAGCCAGTGACCCCGTGTATACTTTACTGAGGAAACCTCGGTTCGGGACACTCAAGAAGATCATCCGAAGTTCAGGGGAGAAAACTAGCGCCAGGGAAAGAGAAGTAGCGTATTTCACACACGAAGATGTGAAAGCAGGTGTAATATACTTCGTAACTAAGAAGAAGGTGAATGAACTGAATGGGTTCGAAGATAGTTTTAGGTTTTTGTTGGCTGCGACAATTTTCCAGCCAGCAGTTGGTGATGTGAAGATTATTATAGGAAATAGGCAGAAGAAGAATATGCCTGGTCCAAATGATCCTGAGAGCCATGAAGGAGTTCCTGTAAGTAGCATATAGTGTAAAATATTTACTCCATTATCTACTCTATTGCTTTAAATTTAGCATTGTAATCAAACTTCGTTTACAGGTAGCAAATGGGGAAACAGCTTCGTACTACATGATGATCCTGATGGCTCTATCAGGAACTGTACTCGCGATAGTTGTGATATTCGGCCTGTTGAAGTGCAGGCGATATCTCATGCGAGATCAGAACGCCCTTGTGAAGATACACGGGCAAAGTCAGGGCGCGGTCGCTCCTATACCGCTGCCGAGGCCACCCGAGCATCTTATGCCTTCGCCCTCACAAGGCACCCCTCCTATAAAACGGTATTTTTTGTAAAATGGCTATATTATATAATTTTACATAATTTCATAACTTATGTATATAGAGCTATATATTTATAACATAAACTACTAATATAATTGTGCATTGCATAGTCTGGTAGTTTCCGGGTAATTAATGAGTTGTTGCTTAGCATCAATATTTTGCTCTTATAAATATGGATTTTTTATTGCGAATACTCCAGGACTTAGACCTGATCCAATGTTTATATTTTATAATTTATTAATTCACTGGAAGTTTCTCTATTAACAAATATATCAAAAAAGAAGTATCTGAATTGGTCTAGCGGTTCACTCTTGATAAAGTGTCCAAGACAATTTCATTTTTAAATATTAGGACTTATTGCCCAATGCTCATAAATGTGTTTTCTTATTACACAGAAGGTATAAGTAATGTAGATAAATTACCATATTTATTTTAATTGAAAATTTATGTACATGTCGGCCATAGAAATGACTTAAATTCTTCATCTACAGCTATGTGTCGTCTGAGCAATCAGTGCACACTGGCGCGAGTACGCCGCTTCCTTCAGCGGGTAGCGTGGCTTGCAAGGTAACTCCGCTCGCCGACGCAGCCTTACCAGACCTCAACGCGAGGTATCCTTATGGGACCGACGACCATACTGATGTAAGTTTAATAAAATATTTTTATTAGCTTCCGCCCGCGGCTTGAGTTTATAACAATTGAGAGCATCCTATGCCTGCGCCAAATTTCATCCTGATCCGTCCAGCTGTTTTGGCGTGATTGAATAACAAACATCCAAACATCGTAACTTTCCCATTTATAATATTAGTAAGATTCATCTCCTCACATATAGTTTTTTAGTCACCGGTCAACTTCATCATTATCATCATCATCATCATCAGTCTATAAGTACCCATTGCTGAGCAACGACCTCTTCTCACACGGAGAAAGTTTGATGATGAGATGAGGCCTTTGCTCAGCAGTGAGCACTTATAGGCTGATGAACTCATTTTTTATTACGAATGTCCATGAGCGGCGCTGATTGCTTACCATCAAGTACTCCATCTGCTCGTTTGCCAATCTATAACAAAAACAAGTACAATTAGTATGAAGATGCAACATTAATGAAACAAACAGTTCGGGTCGTTGCAGGCGGAAGACTGGAGTAGTTACGAGGCAAGCGAGTCAGCCTACCCCGTGCGGGCGACCGGAGTCGCGCCCGCGAACCCTATGCTGCGCCGCAACCAATACTGGGTCTGACCCAAGGACACATTCACACTGCCACGAACGCCCAAACAAGGTTAGTTTTGACCTTATGGTAGTTTTCATTATATTGACGACCTTTTTTTCAATATTGGTAATAATAATAATTAACTATTGAGGTATTTTGTAGAAAACATCATTAATTGTAGTAGACTTGAGACTAGTAGAGGTTTTTTCAGTAATTTCACGTGAGTAAGTCCTTATTTTCAGTAAAATAAATATTATAAATATTAAAATAACAATTAAAGCAAAATTTACTCTATTACAGTAACGGTGACAGCGTACGATAGATCGGTGACGCTGAACCGTCGGCTGCGGCGTCGTGGCATCGATTTAGTTCCTACTCCTTTTCTACTGAGCAACTACACTGGTAAATATGAAAGTTGCGAAATTACCCTTTAGGAAAAACAAAACAATAGATTATTATCCGCTTTCTGTACAATTGTATGTCATTCCGAATTTGGCAGGAGTTGCTTAACATTATGCCAATAGAATTATGTAAAACCAATAACCTAACAAGTGCTGTTACCTGTAAAAACAATATAAAACTGTATAATATCGATAAATGTAGAAATAGAAATATTATTAGATTTTAATACCATTTAAACAAAGGAACAGAAGCTCAAGGTAAATAATTCGTATATTATTTACATGGAAAGCCATTTACCCCCATTGCAGTCCCTTTTTTATATGTAGAACATACCAACATATGTTATTCAATGAAACAATATTTTTATTACTTTTTAGAAAAAAAATATGTTTTTCTGATTATTTTTCGTCGGCTGCACGGTGATTTACTTTTTTATTATTGCCCCATTCTAGGAGTTTCTTATGTCTCGTGATTATGCAAACAGCTTAGCCATGAAATCAATTTGCTTATGTAAACAACTGTCGGATTCGTAAATGTGTGCAAGAATTAGAAGATTAACAGAGATGGCAAGGATAATGTCTAACATAATCATCACATCAGCCAAAACATGTTCGCTGCTGGACATACTTCTATCCCAATAGCTTCCAGATCGGTCAATTGAAAGAAATCCGTTATCCCGGAGCTATCTACAACCTTCAATATGTATCCTGACAGTACTATACATAAAACACGATCTCTTATAATTCTCCTAAAGTGTCAAATTAAACACAACTCCCGATACTCGGTGGTTTGATTGTGAGTTAATTAAAAATATTTAATTTACTCTAAAAGTGTTGTGGTATTAATCCTATATAAATTTTATTGAAGTAATTTAAATTGTCCAAGGATGATAATTGACTTTTTCAGTGTCAGTGGTCATAAACATATGTATTAGTTTCAAGCCAAAATGTTAAAATAATTTTCTATATTGGATATACTTAGTTATTGACTGTATTTGGAATTTGACCAAAATTATTCAGACAGTAACAAAACACATAAAAAGTATTATTATTACATTTTGTACATGTATGGGATTTGATGATGATGGGATTCTGAATTCTGAATACAGCGGCTTCGATCGTATTTCGAAGATAAAGAACAGCCTATGTATTATTTTAGACTGTAATCTATCACTGTGCCAAATTTTTACTTGAATCTACTCTTTACTTTATCACAAAACATTTTTATACTAAATGCATAGCTGCAAATATATGTAGATATAGATAGGAATAATATTTGAGGAGGCATTTCTTCCACAGTGTACGTTTTTTGGCTGATGTTAATAATGCAGATATCATTTTCCTCTTGAAAGGTATTTTTTCTTTATATTATGGTAAAATTTGGTATCTGTTCAACAATGGTCTTGTAGAAATAGCTAGTTTGTAGAAAACTGATTGTTACGTCATATGCAATAGCAAAAGGTTATGGGCGGTAATTTTTAAAATCATTCTTTCATTGAAAATTTTAAATATAGAAAAACAGGGGCCTTTATTAGAACTCTTTGGAGTGGTTGTTACGACTCCAAACACTAGAACCTCCTTACAATACATGGTCTTTTTAAGAAGGACTAATTATTATTATTATTTCTTTATTTTAAATTGCATCTCATTTATAATTATTTATATATGCTAACGCTATCCACGTCATGTGTGAATGTTCGACATGAAACCATCTCATTCTGATTATTGATAGACCTTATTTTATCAATAAGAAGGTTCATTTTGTTTAGTTGTGTTTCAATCGATCTTTATTATACATATACCGTCCTGCCTATAAAATTTTGCGAAGTAACAATAGAATTGTAAACCGAAAAAATGACGTTGTAGTCATTTTTAATGATCAAGTTGTATGGAATCTTGGTCTCGTCATTAAGTACTTAAATAAAAAATATTTGCCAAATAAGATATCGCACGATATCTTTATTCGTTTCTTTGAAAACAATTTTTACTGTATTTATAGTTCTGTTCATTCTATTATGGCATTTAAAACCAGCTATATTATGATAAATATTTGCATCACTTTACTCATTCATTATCTTTGATTTCTAATGTTAAAGCAGTAGAAATCAAAATCGATTGAATGAATGATAAATCAAGTTTGTTTCACTAAAGCCGAGAAATAATGTTGTGATTCCAATTTCAAAGCAATTTCGGTAGACTGTACTTAAATAGTAATTATAAAAAGAATTCAACTTAAAAATCTGATATTTTTTCCTGAGCGCTGATTTTTCACAGTCATATAAATGTTATCTGAGGAATAAAATTGTTGCTGTCACTGTCTTATACAAATATTCTGACGCGACAACATCATAATTATTCCCCAGGTAACTTTTATGTAACCATTGAAAAATCAGCCCTTAGTTACATAAATATCTTGTCGTCTATACCTTAACTTATATAAATAGATATAATAAAACCTCATATACTTCCAATAATAGACTACATTAATATAGAACAACGAAATAAAGCACAAAAATCAAAAAGTGACTCTGTGACACTCAGTATTATGGTTAAAAGTGAACTTTATTACTGTTACGTGCCTGACGTCACGTTCCTGACTATGCGGGCTTGAGTTCGGGATTGGATGAAATGAAACACTAATACCGGTTTTCAGACTTTCTATTGCACTTAAGTTACAGCGTCCACGGAGTTAAGTTATCGGCGTTCCTCTCCAACAGAGTCCGGCCGACTGACACAACTTGCCGTTCACGCTGACTTTATCCACTTAACTGACTGCACTTCACTATTTCACTCACTTCACTATTTCACTCACTTTTCTTCTTTTTCACTTCTTCCTTTTCTTCCGAATCGCTTTAGACTTAGAACTCAACTGCCAGCGGTGAACCGCAGTTCTGCTTATATACCCCCGGTCAGGTTCTGGAACATTCAATTTCGTTATTCTTTTTGATCGTCATGCCTCCAGAACCTTCCAATAATTTCGCTATTCATTTTTATTTATTCTCCTTCTCACTCTTTAATTTTTCATCTCTTTCACACAAATAATTCCAGAAAGTTCGACAAAACTTCCATCAACTAAAAAACTTCATGTTTACGGCGGGACTCGAACTCGGGGTCTCTGTGGTGTAATCCACACGCCTTACCAATTACACCAACTCGTATTGACAATTCACGACGAAATTTACAATCTCTAGGCAACGTTTGACAACCATCCATTGACGTCATGATGTCAAAGAGTTTTCTGTCACACTGCCCCCCTCTTAGATTCGCTCGTCCCGAGCATCGTTGCTGCCGTAATACCTCGCCAACCTGTCTATATGGACAACTTTCAAAGGGCTCCTTGAAGACTTCCGAATTCTGTAAGTAATGTCATTGATCTTCGTGACTATCTCGTAAGGACCTTCCCAACTCGGTTGCAGCTTTGGAGATTTTCCCTTCCTTCTGACTGGATTATGAAGCCAGACCAATGACCCCTCTTCAAACCCAACAGAATTGGCTCGTCGATCATAGCGCGTCTTTGCGCGATCACTAGCTTGAAAACCGGCCTCCCTGATCTGCTCATAAATGTCCAACATTTTTGCCCTTAACTCGCTTATGTAATCGCTAAACTCGGTGCGAGAGTCGCCAGGTGGACAGCCCGATACAAGATCTGCCGGTAATCTCAATTCCCTTCCAAAATTTGCAAATGCAGGCGTCTTTGCGGTACTTTCATGTACAGCAGTCCGATAGGCAAGCAAGAAGAGAGGTATGTAAGTGTCCCAATCTCTCTGATGGCTGTCAACCACCTTTGCTAAGTGTCGCTCCAATGTTTGGTTGAAGCGTTCGACCATTCCATCTGACTGTGGATGATAAGGGGTCGTTCGAGTCTTATGGATTCCCAAAAGTTTACAAGTTTCCTGAAAAACTTGGGATTCAAAGTTCCGTCCTTGATCACTGTGCATCTCCAAGGGTACTCCAAATCGGGTGAATACTTCGTTTACCAACTTCGTCGCTACAGTTACTGCCTCTTGATTCGGTATGGCAAAGACCTCCGGCCATTTTGTAAAATAATCCATAACCAC